GAGCGGAATTCGGCACAGATGGCAGTATTCTGGGGCCTGGGGCTACCTGGGGCTCTACAGACCCCTGAGGCTCTACAGACCCCTGGGGAAAGCCCAGAAAAGACTTCATCGCCTTTCGAATGATCGCGTTGCTGACACCGTAGGCCCAGTATTCGACGAGGGTCGAGAGCACTCTGGCAGAGTGTGCGATGTACAGAAACTCAGACGGCAGCATAAGCAATCGGGACGCGATGCGAAACGCCGTGCCGATGATGTCGATGAGAAGAAATAGAACCAGCAGCTTGACGATACGCTTGAAGGACTTGAATCGCAACATGAACCGCCGAGTCTGACGGCTGACATCGTTTTTGGCCACCCGCTTCTCATGCTTCCAGCCCTGGACCGCCGTGTAGACCAGCATAGCGCACGTCAACGCTGAGCAAACGGAGATGCACGCCTGGGTGGCTATCGTGTACGCATTCGGTAGTACAGACCAGTTGCATCTTTTGATCTGGTGGTCAATGCCCAACACTCGGATGTCAAACTCGGCTACAGTCTCGAGTCCCAGAAGGTGGCAGACCAAGCCGACCAAAGTCAGCATGAAAATGTAGAGCCATGTTATGGCGACCATCCTGTTCACCCACCTGCTTATGATGGTAAAGTGGCGCAGTGGAAACACCACGGCGATGTACTGCTCCACGGCCAAACAGAATGTCGATAGCTTGAAGCCGCCGAAGGTGCTTGAGGCAATTATCATTAGCGTACCGCAAAGCAGCCGAGGCGTGTTATATGCAAACATAATGTCAGCACTAGCGCATGCGAAAAGCATAAAGCTGAATACAAATAGAATAATAGTCATGTTCAGTATGAGGATGACCATTGGCTCTCCACGAATGGTACGGTTTCTGGCGATCATTGTCAGAGGCAGGGCGAAGATCGTCATCAGCCCCAGCGGTGCGACCATTCTCAACCAGCCGGCCATTGTCGAACTGCAGAAGGAAGCCGACCAAATATGGCAGATAATGTACCGAATCTAGTGGACGGGTCGGGTAGCGGCTTTTTCTCGGCGATTCGCAGGTTTTGGCCACCAAGTTATCTCAGCTTGGTTCTTGATATGGTGCCTGTTGTTGTGGAGCCTGGGTCTCGCAAGACGCTCGTCAGTCTTCAGGCAAACCAGCTCGTTGGGCGGACGCCGCGTCGTTATATACTGACGAGGGCCCCCCGGCCACCTCCAGCGACCCTTGTACAGCAATCGGACGAGATCGCCATGCCAACTCTGGCAAAACTTGGTCTTCTGTCTCCATCTCCTCGGTGGTCTCCTTTGAAGATCGGGCATCGGCCGCTGATATTCGAGATCTTGCCTTTGCCTAGATATAGCACGACCTATTCAGCTGAGACTCCTGCTCTGATGCGCCTGTCACTCAGGGTAAAGGTGAGACCATCATCAGTCCAAACCATCAGAATGTAAGTGAATTCGACTTACGTAAGCCGTATTTATGGGAGTCTCCGGCACCGACCTGCATCAATGGTAATGGCCTCCGCAGCGGCGTTTTTCTATGACCTGACTTCAGGTCATAGAAAAACGCCGTTGCGGAGACTATTACCATTGATGCAGGTCATTGCCGGAGACTCCCATAAATACGGCTTACGTAAGCCGAATTCATAATATTGTTAATTTATCACCCAATTTCTTAAAATATTATGCCTATCTTTGACGTGCCTCTTAAGTTACTTTTTGCTTCTTCCCAACAAATACTTATATTTGTCTTTTTCTACAATGCATATTGCATAAGTTTCGTTTAAAATGTTCAGAAGCCAAAAAACGATTTGAATGTATTCTAAGCGGATATAATTTACCTATAATGAATTGAACGCTGCGTCTTTGCATATGACGTATCACGTAATTGGGTGAGTCATAATTGTCTCCTGCAGGTGTCGCACATGCAATCGTAATCTGTTAATCGGACGCATTTATGCAGCACGCGCACGCGCATCACCATAACAGGCATTCCTTCCTGGTAAATTATGGCTCTAGGTCAAAGGAGACATGGATGACACCTCAACCGAAATGCCAGAAGGAAGTGGGCTTGGCCTATTGTGATACATATTGCGACGAAAATGGACGTTGCTTTACCTTAATGGTTCATTGCATAACATCAGACAATTGGTTTCATTGTCACATTGCATAACTACGTTAAGAAGGTGCATTGTATAGGAAATGAAGCTAAATATGTAGACCTGGCAATGGGATCAATGGGATCAAAGCTCAGTACCGTAAAGTGGGGCTATTTGAGACAGTGGGGCTATTTGAGACAGTATTTAAAATCGCTCTAAAATGAAGATCGTTTGATTTTTGTGTGATATTTTTGCTCAGGGAGGTGTGGAATCGAGTAGTAAATCGCCTGAGCAAATAATTCAGCATAAATTTTAAGTGGTTTTTATTTTATAGCAATTTTAAATACTGTCTCAAATAGCCCCACTGTCTCAAATAGCCCCACCTTACGGTACCTCAGCGTGCTCATACCTACCTACTACAAAAGTTGTTGTGTTTGCACTTTCCCCCTGCTTAGAACACCTCAACAATCGCCGTGCCTGGTCTGAACCCGACCCGGCGCGAACAAAGTCGTATCGAGGGCAATATTAACTGTAACGGCGAGACCGCAATAAAACCCATATACCACGATGCCAGTCTCACATATCTCACTTGTTACGCCCGTTTGGCCGGATTGAAAAGTCTCTTTTAGCCTATTTAGTTCAGTGAGTATGTAACCACTGGATACAGGTGAAGTGGAAGTAGGCCGGAATGTTACCACCCGCTGGGCGCCAGCGCCTTTACGGGCGGCGCCACTCCTGAAGGACGAGCCTCGTCGGGCGCGAGTCGCTGCTGCTGGCCCCACAGTCCAAATATACCGTGACCGCTCGGCCAGAACAGTAGCGAAAGGATGACTGAGGACGGGCGAAATGATGGCTGAGAACGAGCGAAAGGACCATAAGGACACTGAGCGTGTATCCTGAATATGCTGTTTCGCCATCCACACTCATTCAAGAATCCGCGTTCTGAGAATTAACGAGTCAAGGAACCCACATTCACTCGCCGAAATCGCCAACCCATTCCTTCCGGTTCTCATACTTTCGTATGCGGTGCCATTTGGACACGGCTCATTCACCCGGGTAACGCAACGTCCCATCTGTTCAGCGGGCGGCCCGGCGGCTGACCACGACCGTCCAGTGTCGACTGCTGCAGTAGGTAGCAGGCGCGCAGCTGACCTGCGACTGGCGCGTTCCGAGGCGCCCGCTGAGCGGCGGCGACTCCGGCTCCGACTCCGACCCCGACTCCTGCTCGGCTCGGCTCGGCTCACGCAGCCCATTAGCCACACTGACCTGCTCCCGATAGAGGCGGATCCACTGGGCACTGAGCGGACCCAGTGGATACTGAGACGGACCCACTGGACACTGATCGGGCCCAGTGGATACCGAGACGGACCCACTGGACACTGAGCGGACACTGTGGATACCGAGACGGACCCACTGGACACTGAGCGGGCCGAGTGGATACCGAGACGGACCCACTGGACACTGATCGAACACTGTGGATACTGAGACGGACCCACTGGACACTGAGCGGACACTGTAGATACCGAGACGGACCCACTGGACACTGAGCGGGCCCAGTGGATACCGAGACGGACCCACTGGACACTGATCGGGCCCAGTGGATACCGAGACGGACCCACTGGACACTGAGCGGGCACTGTGGAACGGAAGCTGAGACGGACCCAGTAAATAATGAGCGGGCACTGGAATGGATGCAAGATGGACAAGGAACTCTGAGATCAGACTCGCGGAAACTGAGAGTGATGCGGATCCGTGTCGGACACCAAACCGTGTCCGGGGCGAGTGTGGATACGAAACGAACCCACGGAAACCGAGAGGATCCGGGGTGCACCGAGTGGGCCCAGACTGCACCAAGATTACCCAACAAATATGGGGAGTGTGGACAACAAACCGAACGGATACTATTAAATTAGTATCCAGCAGCATTGAAATACGGAGCGCTAAATGCGTGCGTTTAAATGGCACAATTTTGGCGACTTTCGTCTGTTCGTTAGCTGGTCACGACATTCGGCTATTTAAGTCTGATCGGTGAAAGTCGCCCTCCCGATCGGGGAAGCTAGTCACGGATCTTAGTGGTCTGTCATTTGTTCGTGGGAGACGATAAATGAGCGATGTATTTTGTCAATGTTTTCTCTGCTCCAACATTTCTTTGATGCACTTGGTCTACTGGCATCGCCCAAGATTACGTGCATGCTCTTTTGTTTTTTTCTCAGTTCGAACCGTGTTCTGAAATTAGTTCACTGGGTAAGTGGTCAGTTTCAGTTTCTACGGCAGATGCGAATGGAACCGTCCTCGTATGTACGGACCGACAATTTATGTCTACAGCATGTGGCGAGCGAGACATGTGGTGGACACGCATAATGCATCTCAGCTGTAAAGAAACTGGAGAAAAAGCACATGTTGCTGATGCAGGTCGATAACTAACCGCAATGTATCCCCAATCCGTCGGTTGGAGCCCACTTCAAAAGATGAAACATGAAATACTTAGGTAGGTACTTTTAACCGAGAAAACATCAAAACATGCTGCCACTGTTCATTATGCTGAATAAAATATGTCCTAAATGTAGTGGAGTAAGCAGTAGTTTAGGGTTTTTATGCTATTTTTGGCCTGGTATTAGTCATGTTGTCTCCATTATACATAGCCTTTTCCCTCCCAAAGACATGGTAATACTTGATACTATACTCAATCATCCATATTCAAGCGAGCTCTGTGTTCGATTGAAATACCACACTTCTCTGTCTCCGAAGCCACGCCCGTATCGAACACATTGGTCCTGTATCGCTTATTGAAACTGGACCTGTAAAGAAAGGACACGGCATAACAAATGGAAGGAAACAACAGAATCGGCCGTCGACGCTCGGCCGTTCCGCCGTCGGGTCGCCGGCCCGGCCGCCGGGGAAAGCTGTCAGAGCGCCGCGGTCTCGTCTGTCGCGGCCTCCTGTCTGTTAAGTGAATACACTGAGACGTAGAACTTCGTTAAATTTTCATGTATTATCGATTTCTTGTGAACAAAAGTTTCGTCCTGAAACATAGGTAAACCCGATGAGTCACATAAAACGCATAAGAAGATATCTCGCGGAGAAATTATCAGCTCAATTCACGAACCAATTATATACAAAGAAAATATAAAAAGAGCCGAATAAAACAATTAAAGTACTCACTACAGTGCGCCAATTTCTTGCTATTCCTGAATTTCCTAAATTTCTACTTTTATGATCAACAAAATATTTCACATTACAAGAATTTAGTGCACCAGCTCGCGCGGAGTTTGGATGTGGTCCACTGACGATCGCGATCACGAATTTCAAGAGTGAGATGAGACGATTTATTATCCATTTGATCACGATGTTCGATCTTCTCCAGTATTCGTTGTCAGCTGATCGTGTCTTGGGCCTCCGAGTCGTAATACTCCTCGTGCTACTTCTGCTGGACGGGTCTTCGATTCTTTCGGTTTGTCGTCTACATAATAAATGCATTTTCGTATCGAGTCTATAACTGTTCGGATTTGCTTCGCATGTCATCGCAAGCAGTCGTTTTCGTATCAAATTTGGCACCTTTGCGTTTGTGTTCGATCCAAATAGTCCAATTACTGTACAGTCCTTGATCTTGCAGTTTATTTCTATCGAAATATATTGTGTCTCTATGCCGATATTGGTCGCATCATGTCTTCCCCGTGTTATTGCTTTCATTAAACAATCAACATAGCAGTTTTCTTCGGAATTTCGTTTTTTGCACTTGTCTATAATTGTAAGGCTGACTACACCATTGAGTCGGTTTCGTGAGCGAAATGTTGTGAGGGCGTAGCGGTCGGCGTTGGCTCGGTTTTCTTCAAAGTCGATGTCGGTTCGTGTTTCGGTTCGTTTCAGATATTGATGTGTATGTTGGTCGCCACAGTTTCGGAGATGTATTGACTTGTGAATTTTAAGGATGTCAGCGGTAACCGGGTATTCACGAGGTCGCGGGAGATTGTGGTGCAAACCGTTCGTGCAATCTGGTAGGTCGCCATCTATCTTTCCGTGGTCGGGTTTTTGTCCTTTGTCTTTTGTCAGTTCCTTTTCCGTTGATCCTAGTTCTTCTATGTTCATATGAAGTGGCGTCTTGACGTTAGTTTCGTCGGGGTCAGATCTTATTGCACATGTCGCTCGTCTATCTTCGTTTTTCCTTTCAAAAGAGCCTCTGACGCATAACCCAAATTGATTTTCAAGGAGTTGGCTATTCCCGACGGTTCTTACGACTGTAGGCATGATGGCACAAGAGTCCACGCCTATTAGCATGTCGATCTTGCCTTTCGGTTTCGCGATTACCGATGCGTCAATCTCTGGAAAGTGACTTTGAATTTGTTTTGCGTCGAGCTGATTTAAATTTGCGGTAATCTCATCAATTTCGTATGCTGGAACTGTCCAAATTTTCCCTTTCAGGTCTTCTAGCGGAACATCTACTTTTTTGCTGTCGAGAGACGTGTGGTCATCTCCAACTTTTACTATAGAAAGTGTTGTATTTTTACCCTTTATCCCCAGTCTTTGGGTCGCACGACGAGTAATGAGTGAAACACTGGCACCCGAGTCCCACATGACATTGATGCGCTGATTTTTACATTGGATCGCGTTGACTGCCAAGATAGGACGATCTTCATTGCCAAGGACATTGTGTACTTCGTTGTTTTGATTTACAGCCGTATCTGCATATAATTTTCGATGAAATAATGGATGATGTCGTTTACCACAAATTTGGCCTTCCTCGAATACCGTACATTGGCTAGAATTCAGACAATTTTTGGCGATGTGTCTGCTAGTTTTCAAACACTTAAAACATGCTCCTGCTTGCTTTGCAACTTCAGACCGTTCTGCCACCGACATTTCTAGGAATTTTGCACAAAATTCCACTGAGTGGCTGGGCGTCTTATGAATCCAGCACCACGATCGAGATTCCGGAGATCGATGATTTTGAGTGCTACCCGACGCATAATTTACAACTTCTTGCTTTATGTTTGATGATGACGTTTCTTGGGCTGGATTTGCTAAAGTGTGATGAACATGTCTCGCTTTTTCGGTTCGGATGTCTTGTTCGGTATATTCTATGACTCGTTTTTCTCGAAGAAGATAATTTAGAAGGCGTTCAAACATACCATTTGATACATCAGTTGAATCCACTAACAAAATCCATTCCCGTTTTTGGGTGGGCGGCAACAATTTTTCGACCATACTGATCATTGCGATAGTATCCATCTCTTCGGTTAAATTTGTACGTTTCAAATCGAGCCAACATCTTTCGATTGTGTCGACCATCCTAACGAACTTCTTTGTGTCACCCTCTTGAACCGGTTTTATCGACGTGATGTCGTATATAATAGAATCCACGAACTTCCGAGGATTTCCAAAGACATTGTCTAATCTTTGAAACATTTGGTCATAATCATCGGCAACTCCCTTTACGGTCTGCAAAGCCGATCCTAACAAACAAGATCGAAGGGCATAAGCGTCTTTGCCATACGCAGGTTCCATAAGTCTCTTGAAATCGTGTTTGAAATTTGCGTACTCTCGAATGTCGCCCGTAAACCGAGGAGCATCTAGAGCCTTTACTTGAATTTGCCTTGAAGAAGAGGAATTTTCTGAGACATGAGAGGCGTGAATTGCTCGAATTTCGTCCAAAGTCGATTCTACTACTTTCATATACTCGTCACATTCCTGCAATAGGCTGTCGAGAACACCGTGCGATGCGTATTCGTTAATCGTTTCGATGAGTCGATCGTTCGCCTTATCTAATTCTTGAAAGCTAGCGCGAATGTCATCGAATTTATCCTTTAACACTGCGAAGGGTTGCTGGTGATGGCTTAACTCTTTAAAAGCGTTGCATTTTCTCGAGAACTTACTTTTTGCGCTGGCTCGAGCTCGTTTCGTCTTTCCAATCGGTTCCATAATAATGTCTTCATTTGCCTTCATTGTTTCAAGTTTCAAGAAATTTCTAGTAATCAAGCAAAGTAAATTCAAATATTCAAGTAATTTTCAATCATTGTTCTTAATAGCTTGTAGACGAAATGTTAAGTGAATACACTGAGACGTAGAACTTCGTTAAATTTTCATGTATTATCGATTTCTTGTGAACAAAAGTTTCGTCCTGAAACATAGGTAAACCCGATGAGTCACATAAAACGCATAAGAAGATATCTCGCGGAGAAATTATCAGCTCAATTCACGAACCAATTATATACAAAGAAAATATAAAAAGAGCCGAATAAAACAATTAAAGTACTCACTACAGTGCGCCAATTTCTTGCTATTCCTGAATTTCCTAAATTTCTACTTTTATGATCAACAAAATATTTCACATTACAAGAATTTAGTGCACCAGCTCGCGCGGAGTTTGGATGTGGTCCACTGACGATCGCGAATCTATCAAATTCACGATACACTGTCGTCAATCCGTGCCACACTTTGCCTGCGGCCCGCCCGTGACACGCGCTAGGAATCCCCGATCCGTGTCGCCTACTCCTTATCACAGACCGGTGTGGCGTGCAAAATGCCGCGATCGTCCGGTCATCGGCGCGTCGTCTCGGCACGGGCCGCAGGCGGAGTGCTGCACCGGCGAACACACGGCCGTTTCATCACAAACAGGTCATTTCTCCTCACATGCTCGCTGAGTAGACCCGACTCGGCCAGCGACAGCAGCCGTCCACAATTTGAGTCCGCGGTGCGGCTTGTTTTCCGGTGGACAGCTGGCTCGGGAAATCGGCTCGCCTCGTCTCCCTGCTCGGTCGAATGTAGCGCGGCGCTCCGGTACGTCACGTGAAGATCGGCCAGAGATGCGACCGTCACGGCCGTGAGCCGGTGTGTGTCACGCGTCAGCGTCACTTTTCACCGTGACATTCGTGACTCGGGTGCGAGTACGGCACGTGTACGGCACATGCTACTATTGAACGAAATTTGAACTTGAAAGGAAACGAACTTAGACTTAAACAGCTTAGACTAGACACTTAGACACTTAGACACTTTGACACTTAGACAGCTTCTTCGCACCTAGCATCGATTTAAAGGCATGCAAATATTTACGCAAGCCGTTGAGCAGCAGGACGATGTAAAAACGTCTCACTTTTATCAATGCATTATCTTCTCTGCCCAGAAAAAAAAAATCCAGGAGGCAGTGAGAAATGTCAGTAATATAACCATGTCAAGTCCCCCCACCCCTCGAGATGTAGTCCGTCTAACTGAAGGTTTGCAGTCAAATAAGCATCTCGGCTTGCACTTCATGAACTGCAATCCTATATGCTGACAACTTTTAGTCAGTCAGCTTTTGGTACATTCAACACATCGATGGGGCGGCGACCTGTCTCGAAATCCTGCAACAGCTGAATATAAAACAATCATGCTAAGACTCCTGGATCCGAAAATCACAAAGTGATAGAGTGACGTTATGCATTCACCATGATGGTCATAAGTGTGACAATGTGCATCACACGCATTACAAGTCTAAGTTATCGACGAGCTGTTTGACTTTCCGGGACCATCGCTTCCTGAGTTAGTATGACTTAGTAAATGCTCTCTGGAACCGCTCGCATATCTTGCCGACGAATCTATCCTGGTTTATTGTCAGGTAGCATTTTCAGCTAAATCTTAGAGTTCGTGTCCGTCAATCAACGTTCTGACAACACATTTGCCTATGCAAAACAATTGAGAGAACCCGTCTGATTTTCATATATTGTGCCGAGTCTGCGCAATGAGCATTTTGAAAGGTGATGTAGCGAGGATTCGCACAATTCGAACTGTGACATTTGAACATTGCAAAAATGTGCATTGTGCATGTTAACAGATAAACAGTTTAATTTTAGCAACCAAAATAACGCCAATCAGCCCAACGCAGCTGAAGATCACTCCTAAAGATGATCGTGTTACGTCTTAAAAAATGCATATATTCAAATCGTTATATAAGCAAATAGTAATGCGTGCCTTTTTGACGAACGATGTGAAAGAATTTAATAATTTTACATACCAAGTTGCCCACATTTTCTTTAAAGGTCACGAATGGTAAGGTAAAAGAGTGCAAATCTAACAGCTTAAGCACTTTTTTAAGTGAAGACATTGCGGTATTAGTTCATTAAAAGCTGCCGCGGCGTGTAGGTCGTCAATAGCGCCGACAGCGTGGGCGCGTCTGTTCGCCCGTACCCACCGTCGCTACCGTCTTTGCCCGGAAAGCAGCTCACCGAGCCGGTGGCTGTGGACGTGCGGTCACTCTCGCGGTGGCTTCTCTCAGCCAGCGCTCCCGGAGAGCGACCGTCAAGGCCGGAGAGCGTCCCGCGGTCCCGCCCAGTGCGCTGACCCACCCGGAAACGACGCAGCCGCAGCTCCCGGCTCGGCCGGCCGCGTCGGCACCGGCGCAGCGCGCGCGGAGAGAGAGGCGGCGGCGGCGGCGGGCCCGCGGCGCGACGACCCACTTCAGCCGGGAGTCGATATAACGCGGCGCACACCGGCCAGCAGCACAGTGCTCCACCGGCATCCGGACCACCTCCCGACAGCTCCCAGACGCTCAGACTGCCGACATGAAGTGCCACGTGATCGCAGCGCTCTGCCTCGCCGCAGGTGGGTGTCGTCGGCGCGTCTTTGGTGTCGTCGGCGCCGTTGTTGGAGGCGTCGAGACCGACGTCGGTGCCGTCGGATTCGTCGGTGACGTTGTCGGAACGTTCTATGCTGCCGTCGTCGGTCTGTGCGAGCCACGTTTGGGACTATAACCCATGAGCTTCGGAACTTGTGTTGACTCGACGGTGTGATTACCCTAGAAGCTTCTGTTGTGTTATTCGTGCTTGATTCATTTTTATGATGGAGTTTCAATCAAGCTGCTTGATTTTTCAAAATCTTGCCAACACATTTTGACATTTTATTGTGATTTTAACCTAACAAAAAATAGCAGAGTAAAGTTGCTTCATACCAATTACCATTGCGAAGACAACGCTATTGCCTGTAGTTAATTTGATGATAATTTGTCTGATCAAAAACCAATTTTACCGACATAACATTTATAACAACTCGTGAACAATCACATGTATAGATTGTTTCAATTTAAATGCTCTTTATCGGATAACCAGGACCGTTTATCTGATTCTATTTTCCCCTCAGATTTTAGTTTATGTCGCGTCTTTTTATCGAACAAGTTGCAAGGCTAGTATGATTCATCACCGCTTTACTGAAGACGCCCATCTGATATCGGATCAACGGACTGCTAAAAATATGCATATTTTGAGCTCGGTATGACCTTACTGGAGATTATGAAAAATACTTAAGCTTCACGTTTCAAAAAAAAAAACACATTCTGCCGTCATTTTGTCATTTGGAACGATTCTGTTTTAGAAATCACCAATGACATTATCACCGGCAGCTTCAGTACGTCCAACGTTATATGTGCTTCGTTTTATCTCGAAGCCTTTACATCTTCTGTTTCATTGCATTACAAATTCTACCATTACGAGTACTGGCTTCTTTGAAACAGTGGTTTCCTTCTTTGAAACCTACGCACCACACCGTGTTGTGATATCTGATCACATTAGCACCTGGCGATCAGCTGAGGTGTTCTGTTTTCCTCCGTTATACGTCGGGGAGCGTTTTTCCCCGCGGGTGTCCGTGCCAGGGTAGGTATATGTCCGTACAGCCTCGGCCGACCTTGCCCGCTGTTATCGTATCAGTTCGTCCTCAGTGCAGACCGGTTACGCCGGTCAGGCAAGGTTGATCGGCTGTCAGACCAGATCTATGGTCAACGGGTCCGAGCCATGTGTCCTCATAATGCTCGCAAAAAAGGAAACACATAAGCTAGGCCCGGGCTGAAGAGGATTGTTTACAGTTTGAGTAGCGTGAGATCATGATTTGGCGCTTCAGTAGTAAACGCTGACAAAGCACTTCGAGTCCGACACGAGCTGCACGTACGAAGATAATGAAATCGAAATTGCTGCTTTATGCGTAGCATTGACGCATTAAGTGGTTCTAATGAATTCGGTAAGCCGATTGTAAAGATTACAGTACACCATTCATTGGCTTAGCACCCTGGATAATTATTCGATTAGACACAACGTCGTCTAAGTTCTATCGCAAACAAATTCGGTGAAGCTTTCTGTTGTTTGTGACTTACAAGTCACGGCCCCGCCCGACCTCTCAGAGGCCGCGTGTAGCCCGGCGGCGGGCGCGCAGCCTACATTCGGCTAATAACCGCGTGCCTGATGACCTCTGACCCGGCTGTCCGATTATGTCAGAGGCCCATGAGCCGAAGTAAGCCAGCCCGTTAAACCACGCCGCCCCGGCCGACCGATCTCCACACAGCTAACTGGGTCATTGTTTTACATGTGGAATCAGGTCCTGGCGGCCCGGCGGCCTTTTTACCTGGCGTCGATGCCGGAACCGAGAGCACCGTTACGCCCAGAGAAGATGGTCATTCATTATCATACACACACGCATTCACTGGGAGGCCAATGACGCGCTGTGATGAGTCGATCACCAGAACGCCTGTGTTCCTCTCTAGGCGGCGGTCCGGTGCCGCGGGCGGGCGTGAATGGCTCGGCCGGCGCCCGGGCGGCGCTGACCTACAGAGGATCGGCCGCCGGCGGTCGGCGGCTGGGCTGTGGGTCGCTCAGGACCCAGGGCTCTGCTGGGCTGGCTGGCGGCCAGCTCGGGTCCGTCTGGGTCGGCTCCGGCCGCACACTGGGTCACTGGGTGACGGCAGCGCGCCGCCGCCTCCTGACGACCTTCCGAGCGGCGCCGGAGGCCGCGCCCGCCACATACCGGGCCGGTCAGGGCACCCGGCCGATCACCGGCCCTCCGTCCGTCACGGGCCGCCCTCACTGATCACAGGAAACGCATCCAAATCAGCCAGAGATGCCATATATGGTCAGCTCCCAAAATGAGAATTGCTCACTAGCTTTTTTAACAGAAAATGTGTTTCTGAATGGATTTGTTTCTGGCCTTTTATATCAATGGCAATAAATTGTCTCATTATTTGCAATCGACGTCTGCCTTTTTCAAATTTCAGCTACGTGCACGCTTCTCGTGCCTTCAAAATTAAATATTTTTTTCTTGTTGCCAATCAGTTTACCAGGAAGCCGTCAATAAAATCGTTAAAACATGCGCTTTTACGGCGTTCCAGCAAATTGTTGCTGTTTAAATACCTTACCAAATTACCCTATGTAGATGTCATTCAATGTTACAAAGTTTAAGATAGCCTTATTAAGCGTTACAATTCAAAGTTTAAATTCTATACAGACGAAGCAAGAATAAATTAATCATGTCAATTTTTATACTTTTACATTCAACACTAGCTTGAGTAGCTGCTCTCACATTTTCATTTTGTCCTATTGTTCCTTGAAAATAACAAGCATAATTTTCACACTGATAGTAATCATACCTACCGCACCGTAAGACAGCCGGAAATAATTTTACCAATTCTATTATAAAACTTTGTGTCGTTCTGTCTCAGCGCCTAGCGCACCGCACCGCTCAGTGGAGCAGCTTTTCTTTCCCATAATGACGGAGCACGTGCTACCGCCGTTCCGCCCCGTTTGCGGTCCGACTGGCTGATACCGGATCAGGGGGAGGGGGAGGGAATCAGTGCGTCATGTGGGTGCCCACACTCGACAAACTGGCGTCACTTTCCCCAGGAGGTGCGGTTTCACGGCTCGGTGCGTGCTCGGAGACGGTCCCACGGTGCCAATCAGTTCAGCCTCGGGTCCGGAGCTGCCGCCTAATGCAGGACTGGTCATAAATGTGGCGTCGAAAGCGAAACACATTTCGTGGGCTTCGACACTCCCGTGTGAAAGCATTTTTATCACCTTGCTTCCGCTTTCGTCCCTCAAGTGAACGTACAGCGTTACACTGGTCTATCCGGGATGCTATTCAGTTTCATTCAAACTTTCTCAAAGGTAAACGCGCACTGGTGGGCATTCAGACAATCTGTCTCACTATTTGTTCCTATGCATACGTTCATCCACAGTGGGACCCGCATGCTCAGCGGTCGTACGGACGCAGCCCGCGGTCGAACAGAACTACGGTCCATGGTTGTATACGGACGCAGCCCGTGGTCGTACGGACCTACGGTCCGTGGTTGTATACGAGTGCAGCCCGCGGTCCGACGGCGCCGGCAGCTGCTGCGGCCGGCAGTGGTGACCGCTGCGGCCAGCCATGACGGGGTTGTGCCACTTCACAGGTGCACATCGGTGACCCAGTCTGTGGGCGTCCGTGCTACTTTCGGTGCACATCCGGCGTGCACGGCCGGCCGCTGTTTGGTGCACGGCCGGCCGCTGTTTGGTGCACCAACTCTCTCGCCAGAGTTACCGGTCCATGCGGCGTGGAGTGTAAAGTCGCTCCCCCGACTGCCAGCTTCGTGTGATTATTTTAATGGGAAGCTCGTGTGGGAAACATTCCCGGATGCATTTAAGGCAATGAGGCAGTGCAGTCGGCCGTCACGATGACGTAGCAACATTTGATGGGCTCGGCGGTCGTCATTCGGTCCGTGTTCCGTCATGCATACGTTATCAGCGTGCGAGAGAGCAAACAACTATCGGTTTTGGAAACAGCCTGAGTGTTTCAAGTGTGTGCCGTGCCTGTTCCGTCTGTTCCCGACTAACTGTGTGTTTGTGTCTGTTCCAGTGATCGCCTCTGTGACGGCTGACTCCGCTCAGCATGTTCAGGGTAAGTGAGCACCACTCTCTCCGTCTTCTTGTCTGAAATCTTTTCTCCCATGTCTCACACTGTTCGTCTTGTCATACCGGTTCATCTCACCCAATGCCGACCGGACTTTTTGCACAGCTCCCGGCTTTCCCCGGTGTGTTTTTATGAGCACGTGCCCGACGTGCCTCCGGTTCCTCTCCGCTCATTAGCTGCCATATTCGGGTGTGAGAGCCGGGTGCGGCCGGCGCGTGCCGGCTCTGCAGCTGTTTGTGGACTGTGACGGTCCCGGTGACACGGCGCGGTGACTGACCCACATGTGTGTCCGTCCACAGGCGCCCAGCAGGCCGAGCCGCAGTTCCAGCCGCAGCAGCAGTTCCAGAGGCCCCAGCAGCCGGCGCCGTTCAGGCCGCTGCCCTACAACCAGCAGCTCCGCCGCCAGAGCGTGAGTGCAGCACATGAGAGCACAGCAATCCAGCACACACAGGAAAACACATCAGTTCAGAACACAGGAGCGCACAGTAACTAATTTCGCTGATGGCAGACGAGAGCTCCGTCGCTTCAAGAACACAGAGACGCTCGCATTTTGTCTCCGGTTTGTAGGATCACCCAGCGTGGCTGGCGGCTGTCACGCTACGCTTCAACAACGTCGGGCTGAGACGGTGAAGACACTGCCTTGTGTCAGCTGGGCGTGAGTACAGCCGTGTCCGACAGAACGACACAGTCACGCGTGCCGCCACAGCCCGGATCTGACTAGAAATTGAGCTAACGAGCCATGGCACGTGCGCCGGGCCATCCGGCGGTACCGGCTGTTAGTGAAACTCTGTCACCTGGCGCTCGCCGTGGCCGGAGTCACCACACACGCCAGCTGGAGCCGCGGTCCGGTCCCGTTCCGCCGGCCGCTCGCGCTGTGCAGCCTCTCGGCGACTATTAATTACGGAGAAATCTGCCGGCCCACCGGGCGGCTGGGTCTCCGGAGCGACCCAAATAGCGTCCCGATCGGGCGTTCGGCAGAGGCCGTGAGGCCGGTCAGGACCGAGCGCCAGGACTGACCCGAGGGCGGCCCGGCTAACGGGCGCCTCCGCCGGCCGCCCCGGCCCACCGCCGGCGGATATCCATAAATGGACCGGCCCTGACCGATCTGGTGTCGATTTAGATTCAGAGTGGAGCCCGAACGATCCCCGAGCGGGGTCATTGAACGCTGCAAGATCAGCCAAATTTTGGCTCCAGGGCGTCCGTGATCAGCTCAACTGGCGCCTCTCGCTGCCCCAGGTATCGGCTCATCGCGAGAACCGATGAAACTAGCCGTGAGCCGCGGTGCCCGAGGAGCACGATAGCACAGTTGCTCGGAGGAGCGTGAAGCTGCTCTAGTCGGGTGCATACGGTGCTTTCGGGTGGGTGCAGTGGGTGCTAAATTCCCATCATCCAAATCAGAAAGTTAGCTTGAAAAAGTGACTGTACAGAAGCTCACGGGAGCTCAGCATTGCCTAACTTGTCTAATAAAAGATGGCAATTTGCATCCCCAATAGTGTGAATTTCACATAGAATCGCCACCAGTTTCAAGCACTTATCCCTAAATGCCTGGTATCCAGACTCGGTCAAATGGTTGGCACATAATGCGTCCTACATCCCGGAGGCGCCGACTTTCTCCCCATATCTGTCCTTTTACGATTGTCATCGAATGATGGGAGCGATCAAACTGTCTCTCATTATGTTTGAAGGAAAACGTCTGTACAATGGACGAGGATTTATGGAGACACTGTGCTCTGTGAGGCCCGACACAGCTTTTTGTAGCCCTCCCTTTCGCTTTCGCCTTGGAGGCAGCCTGACGACACACAACGGACCCAAGCTCCCCAACGGGCCACAGAAGACATGGCGGAACCGTGCACCGTCTTCGATCTCCAAATCGGTGACGGAGCATCTCAGACACGAGTTCAATTTTCACAAAATTTTTGAGGAATCTTGAGCAGTTATCACATGTTCAAATGTTGACGGTTTTGGGACTTCCACTTCGTTTGTTCGGATCCTACCGGGTTTCTATTTATGCATTCTGCTTTCGCTGTTTCTTCCTTACCTGCTCATATTCTTACCTCATTCATTCGCACTTTTATTTGTGACAATTATAATCGTTCTGATGGACTTCGAGCATAAAAGCTGTACCTGTTAGTGGCCACGACTCGACTATGTAGACTGGCATGTGATCTGACTCAGCATTCTTCTTTCCACAGCCCATGAGCCGGATGCGCGACTCCATCTACAGCTTCTTCAGCAACCTGATGAGCGCCGGCCGTCAGTTCCGTCAGCAGGCCTCTGCGCGCATCTTCAGCATGTTCAACCGCCGCTCCATCAACCGGAGGCTGCAGCGTCAGGAGTACGCCCCTGCGCCGGTCCAGGGCCCCGTGCCGTCCCAGCAGCCCCTGCAGTAGATGCCCCCGACCCGGGGCGCCGCCCGGGGCGTCCGAGCGCTGCTCCTCGGGGCAGCTCTGACAGTGCCAGCCGACTGACCGGCCCCGGCCGGCCCTGAGAGCCCGGCCGGGGTCGGTCAGGGAGACCGGCCCGACCGCTCAGCCAGTGCCGACTGGCAGCGGCAGAGCGGAGCCCAGACAGCGGGCCGGCTAGCGGGCCGCACCTCCACCGTCCGCGGTGCCGGCCGCGCTCAGACAGCATTGGCGAGTCCAAAACGTGTGAATGTCGATATTGCGCTCATTGTGTGAGAGGAATGCGTGCAAACCAGGGTTCATCGTCACGCGAGTACGAAGACGTTTATTGTTGTTACGAGTGATTGACGATTGTTGATTGTTTCTGTTGCGCTCAACACTTTGCCTTTTGCACTGTTCTACCTCAGGATGCGATGTCTTTGTTTCTGTTTTGTTTGGCAAAGTCGCTGTAGGACGGCGCCCCAGAGATACATATAGCAAGACACGCCCTGATCATTTCTATGTCACGTGCGTCAAGAGGTGCATCTTGTGTGCGATCATGGCCACCTCTGCAACGAGTGTGGTTTGTGCATTTACTATTTATTTCATGTGTCATTGTATAATAAAGCCACAAATCCAATCACTGGCGAGTTTTATGCTGGACACAATGCAAAAATGACATGGAAAGGTCGCTGGGCTCAGAGAAATAAGGAGCAGGCAGGGACATTTGCATTATATTTTGGCTGTTTACATACAATATATCGTACAAACACTTGCTTAGCTGTAGGATGGCTGTTTAGCAAGCAGCCTACCATAACACCAAAATTATCTCATGCGGCACACTTCGGTACAGTTCGGTTTTCTCCATACTCCCTACCAAGGAAGAAAGGGGTATCATACCTTTGACTTTTTTCCCTTATCGTGGCCCCCTCCAAAAAAAAAAAAATAACCTTACAAGGTACGGTTGTTGATGCCCAATCAGTCTCAGGTCAGCCAATAAATTCCATGGTCGGGTCAGAGACCGAAATGTCGCGGCCGATTTTTGCAAATAATTTCGGCAAAAGCGGTGGCAGAGCAGTAACTTTGGTATCATCCTGCTTATCATGTCCAGCCGCGATGACCGATATGATCTTTTTTTGGAAAAGGTCACATTGGATATAAACATGAGGTTAAGGTCCGTTCAAAGTCAGAAAGGCGGTCGAGAGAGGTCATGCTGCACATCTGTCGATTCGGCAGCTCTTGACCTACACTGAGTTCATATTTCGCATCGAAGTATTTTCTGGTCTATAGCACCCATCTCATTAAGGTATCGAATAAAGGTAGATATAAGATGTGAGAAAGTTTCACCTTTTGTATTTACGGTAAGAATTACAGCAATTTCGTAGACATCCTTTCTTTGGCCCACCGCAGTGATACCAATAAAGTATGTTTGTTCGTATAGCACAACATCCGAACACTAACATCCTGCAAGTAATTATTGAATGAGACGCTACTCATTTCGGAACGACATAAATCGTAAATTTGACGCAATTCAACATTTGTTAAGGTGTGGTTGGTACAAGCGTATAAGTGACAAACAAGTGAGCGCTCTATCAAAACTGGTTTACCATATAGGTACGCATCTGTTTTTCGGTGCAGACGAAATTACATAGTCTACGAGCTTCTTTTATTATGGGCAGCCGTTTACTTTCAAATATTTGTATTTCTACGACCGGGAAATAAAGAGAATTATGAACGCCATACTCGGCGAAACTCGTCAGTGGGCTATTCATCCAATTATAAAATATAGATTCAGAGCTCGGTTCAGAGCAATAAGAAAAAACAACGAAGTGTGCAAATGAAGGTAAAATATACCTAAAAGCGAGTAAAAACTTTTGTGATTTAGTGTAAAACTAAACGAATCACCACCCTTAGTGCATACATTGCATATTATACCTATTAGGTAATTCCTACTTGGGGGCTCGTTAAAAACGGTTGAAGTGTGAGAATGAATTGCAGCAAGAACCCTAATGTCGAAGAAAAGGATTATAATTGGCATTTATAAGTTAATGGTATATTACATATTTCCACACACCTGAAGCATAACAGATAGCCATTTTGTATCTTATTGAATTCTTATCAGTCCCTGAACGCCTAATGTTCATTTTAGGTATAGGTACAGTCCACAGCAGAAATAATGTGCGGTTTCAGTCATGGGTATGTTCTGCTTCTGAAGCTTTAGGAACGATTAGCCAGACTGCAACGAGACTTTAAATGTAGCTTACAAGTATCGTCACCCTTGCAGCTACAACTTTATCTATTGACGTCTTCTTTTCAATCAGTCCGCATTTAAAAATCGTCAGTCAAAGCCATCCGTTGATATTGGGAAAACCACACATTACTTTAGCGGTGGGCTGTACATTTAGTCTACGGCCTGTATATCAGCCTCAATTATATTTCAAAAGCTTATTTTACCAAAGTAAATTATTTAGGAAGATAAAGCTGCTCAACACTTTAAGTCTTATCGAGTCAGCCAGAACATCATTTTTTTTGCATAAGAATACATATTGAAGTCCTATTTCCAAGAGAGTGGGTGAGTATGGTCGACCTCAGCGCCATCTCTACGAGTAGAGCGGCGGCCTTGGAGCCGACCGTCGCGAGGGCAGGTGACGCCTCTGCTCCTGCTGTCAATGCTGGGAATCTGGATGGTCGAGTGGAGGTCGGCATGCGACATAGAATAATTTTACTTGGTGGCATTAACTGGTGAGGCTTGGCAGGTTACGTGGACTTATGTCGCTACGTTCGCTAGGTACAGCGGCACAGTTGGCAAATTATTTCTAACTGCATATATCGTTTTATTTTCATGTACTCGTAAAACGGCCCTTGGAAGGTGATGGCGACCGGAGCAGCTCTTATTCACCGCTGCAGTATCTTCAGGACAAGCTCGTCTCAGCTGTTGCTTACAGTTCCTTGCTCTCGGTAAACATTCGCGGCTGGGCGGTGTCCGACCCATCAGACAGGTTCAGCTGCACGTTTGGCGCGATATCCGGCTGTCCAGCCAGCCCGGTGTTTCCCGTGCTCTCACCAACGACCTTGAATTACATACATAGCTGAAATAAACCTTGTTGTTTTGTTGGGTTAGGCCCTCTCGGTCTGACTGAAATATACCAAAGCGATTTACTTCATATAGGCATTGTCCGGACAAGGTGAACAGTAAGATCTCTTGTCATTGACCTCCGGTCTGACTGAAGTATCTCCCAAAAGGGCGCTCCGGTCACCTGCCAGTGAGCAGTGAGCAGCCCCAGAGGGCGCTCCTGTCAGGTCTGCCAGTGAGCACCCTCCAAGAGGGCGCTCCGGTCACCCGCCTCCGCCTAAGCCTCCGCCGACCAGGTGACACTACACTCGGGTCGATACCAGTGCGGCCAGCAGGCGTAGCGTCGATTAACTGACAATGCGACCTGACAACGAGGCCTGAGCAAAACTCAAACAGTTATCTGCCTATATACGACGGTTTATTAATCCATGCATGTAGCAGAGCATTAGCAGCGATTATATCGATTCGGTTCATTGCATAATTTTTAATTATCATACTCATGTGTGCTGCCCTTCTCTACCCAAACAACACCGGTGACCGGCTCATTATTTGAGGATGGAGACTTACGTTGGGTTCAAGTCCTAATTCGTCATCTCAATCCCGGAGCGGCTCTAGCCTCGAGGGTGTGACTCCAGCTATCTCCTGATATTTGAACCTCTGAACTGACTCTGCTGCCTGCGAACGCCGAACGCCTCCTAATAGAGGTGGCAAAAGATGAAAATTTTGGGAACCAGACTCGAACCAGACCCGGCTGGATATTTCTGGAACCAGTCGGACCCGGTCTTAATTGGAATCGGAACCAGTTGGACCCGTTCCCCAAAAGTCAATTAATACAAACTACTTGTAGGTATAATTAGTTGCATCATGTAAAACAGCCTATTTCCCGCAGGGAATACTCATGAGCTGTGTGCAAAGAAACATTCACTTCATTCACTTCATATTTTGCAATAATGTGTAGTGCGCAAGATGTATAGTTTATGGTAGGACCCGGTTGGACCCGTCAGAAAATTTCCAGGAACCGGTCTGGACCCATATGGGTCCAGACTGGTTCTTTGGACCGGGTCCTCGGGTCCACATTTTGCCACCTCTACCTCCTAACGTCCATGCCTGGGTGTCTCAATACTCTGGAAGACTGCATTCTGGTGTTAGCGTCATGAAGCAGTGGTAGACTGTACCGGATAGCACATGTGACGCCGGCGCAGCCTACCCATTTACAAAAGACAGATTAACAGAGAGTCATGCAATTTACTAAATATGTGGCATGTGCTGACGCTTGATGTGCAAACACATTAACCCACGCCCTGTTAGGGGGGCTATTTTTTTGCCCCCCCCCCCCTCGGACTTTTCGATGTACCTCCAGGACTGCTGCACCGATCGTCACCAAACTTTCAGTAGGTACTCTCCTGGGCATCAATTTTACATATTGTGACCAATTTTTTCCAAAGGCTATGATATGGTCAGAGTGACGTCATGTTCTGCCGTTTTTCACAAAAAAGGTTCGTGGGAAGAGCTGTCATGCTTATATAGCTTTGAAGATACAGGAAAATGTTAAAGACATAAAAGGTGTAGAATGACCAGGACTTCTAAACTGCTACCTCGAAATTTGGAAATTTTCGGATTTTGAGCCCAAAAAACAAAATAATATTTTTTTCAATATATTAGCAAGAACGTTTAAAACCGGAAACCGGAATATATGTGATAGGCCCTACCAACTTTTATTCGCATACCAAATCTTAGATCGATATTTAGTTTTTTTAAAGTAAATTTATAGCGATGAAAACTGTTCAAAATTAATGACGTTAAATTTTCAAACTCAATTTTAGCAATGCTAGACCACGTAGCGCAAAACAAAGACCAGCATTAGACTCGACATGGCGAGCTGCATCGAATCAATGCCCCTTTTATGCAAAAGTATCAACTTTGAAATTTGACATTTTTTGACCTAACATTGACCTGACCTCCACCAGGAAGTTACCTAAACCGTTCCGGATGGTCTTGTAACCAACACCATTCAGTTGGAAATGAAACATTGGCCATAAAACATGCATCGCACAGCCCTAGTAAGATTGGGCTCATGTGCTGACCCTTGGTGACCTGACCTGTGACCTGACCTGGTATTATCAGGACCTCAAATAGCAACATAAATACTAGGCAACTGACGCCCTATCGCTGATTTTCGATAAAATGCGTTTTACTCGATACCTATCATAGCGCATTCCCTAGAAGAACCGTGAACGGCAAAACATTTTATCTTTGGTCAGACCTGTGACGTCATCGATGACCTCGAGGTCAATGAAATTGGAGCTCCGTTGAAAAATTTGACAGGGCTTTCGAACGCCGTTTGAATTTTCGGATCCGTCCAGTAATCGTTGGAGTCCGTCGGAGATAGAAGGGGCGCAAAAAAATAACCCCCCTATCAGGTCACGTTATAAATAAACAGACCCTACCAGGGCGCGGGTTAAAACATATTTAAATGCATGATTCCATTACAGAATAGTTTCTATATGTACAACCGTGTATGTGCAAGCTCTAAGTACCTATTTCTATCCACCAATGTTAGACAATATGCAATATACAATATACATATAGGTACCTACATAAAACATACCTACATGCAATCCTCCATGCCTTCACCTGAATGTAAGTACTTCAGCTAGCGCTTGGCACATGTCATTTCTTTTTTGAAGAAATTAAATGGAATGGTGCTCGAAAGCTGGGCATAAAGAAGGACCTGCCCCTAATGGACCTGTCTCTAATATTCTTAGCTTATTATGGGATGTATAAAAGTAACCTGGCAGTCAAACCAATGCTTCTGCTGATGTGCTTACCTATATTCACTCCTGTGCCAAATATATCTCTCACCCTTTCTCTCTCCGCTTCTCTCTCTCTCTCTCTCTCTCTCCTCTCTCTCTCTCTCTCTCTCTCTCTCTCTCTCTCTCTCTCTCTCTCTCTCTCTCTCTCTCTCTCTCTCTCTCTCTCTCACTCTCTCTCTCTCTCTCTCTCTCTCTCTCTGTCTCTCTCTCTCTCTCTCTCTCTCTCTCTCTCTCTCTCTCTCTCTCTCTCTCTGTCTCTCTCTCATATTATTCTTCTTCACTTTTTAACGCTACCTTATTTGTTTGTCAGCGCATCTGAACTTAAAATTGGTACAAGATTTACATTAACCTACTCATTTGCTTCTATCATTGTCGATTCTGCATTTTATAACCATGCAACCAGATTGTCCACATAATTCACCTCACAGCTACCAGCTAGATGCCTTCAGGTGCCATGGGGAGGGGACGTCTTATTAGTTCACCTCCCTGCCTCGCTGACACTTGATGCGCATTTATGTTAAGTGGGCCACTGGGAAGGTATCTGCCTGCTTAGGGGGCGTCACTTTCCATTGCATGTGACCCGTCTGGAGCTGGTCTCGTCTCATCCGTCCGGGCTGGTCTCGTGGCTGCGGGTGGGTGACACCACAGGTGTGGGATTTCCGCAGTCCGTTATAGCTGCGCGACTGGATGGTACAGGGAAGGGAGCGCAGAATTGGGCGATGAGTGTTGTTTGCACTCGTATCGGTGATCCTCTTTTAGATAGACGTCTAACGGGTTTCTTTTTTCGTTCTACCCGGCAATAATAAATGCAACGCCATGCTTCAGTGGTCTAAAATACTACCATGTCGAGGGTTCTCGAGGCGAATCGATTTGCATTTTATCCTCAGCCTCCGGTCCTGCCACTAAACACAGCATCTGATTGAATATGCAAATGCGGTTGATGTAGGACATGATGCCATATCCATTCGAAATGAATGGAAGCCTACCACTTAGAGCGCGTCCAATGCTGCGGGCTGCAAGTTGAAAGGAAATTTTGAGCTCGCGATGTACTAAACACCGGGGAGATATATTTCCCTTTTTACCTTGCCATACTTTCTTCACCATGCCTCGTGTGGTTGCGAAGCATTTAAATCGAAACTACTCTTTTAGCATCCATAAGATGAACGTTTAAGAGAACATCACTAGGACAACTTTTCATATCATCTGAAAGGAAAATGTATGGCATCATCATTTCAGTCGAATGTAACGCGCCTATGCGTCGTCGTGAAGTGATTCACGCCTTTGGGCCAATATACGTAGCTGTTATAACCGCTGGAAAGTCAGTTGATGTAATTTATTGCTTCCCGACTAAATGGTGCTTCACTGTCGGTGATCTCTTCCAGCAGTTAGCGCCGGAATCCTCCCATCTCTCGCGTGCGTGAATGAATTTACGCTCCCCCATCGTACGGGAATACTCTCGCCACGCGTCACCTTTGGCGACCCGGCGGCCGGGGTCGCAGAGAAAGCCCTGTCGGACGCCCGATCCGTCCGCCCCGTCCGGTCCATCCTCTGGGCGCGCGCTGGTGCGGCCGGTGCGCCGGTGTTTTATCCAGCACACGTGCGACTGGACGGCGACCTGTCTGTCTGCCGGCACGCGGACCGGCGCGGCCGGCAGCTCATCGCTCCCCGGCCGAGACGGCCGCCCGAGGCAGACTGACCCGACTCGTCGGCCGGTCGGCAGCGAGCCCCCGAGACGGCACGGCGGCCGGTCTCGACCGCAGGCACAGTGCAACGTGGGGGCTCGAGCAGGCAGCATCCGGGAGCGAGGGGAGCGGAAGGAGCGACGCGACAGGACATCGAGAGGAGCAGAGCGGGACAGCAGGACTGGAGCGGAAGAGAAACAGGATTGCTTACGGTATACTGGCGTTATAGCTGCTATAGAAGAACCAAGACAGAACGGAACTTGGCAAACATTGATACAAGAAGTTTTCTGTCCATGAAGACGGGAAAATAAAACAACGGAAAAAGACCGAATAGTGTACATATTGCTCCGGATAATTTCTGTAGACTGGTGTCTTGCCTCTAAACGGCAGTGCAACGATACGTGACAACTAGGATCAGCGATAGAACTCTTTTTGAGTGTCGCTTTAGCACGGTCTCCGTGCCACGCGTCGCTGAAAGTCAAGAATATAATCAGTGTCGTGTTTCACGTGCTCGTGCTGCAAGATGACACCAATGGCTCGTCCGTCTCTTCTGGCAATCGGTGCACTCCTTTGCTTGGTACGTGAAATTACTAACATAGACCGTTCAGTGATCAGCACTCAGTGCCCAGTGCTCATAACTTGTTTTTACATAAAGTTTTGGGTACATTTATTAGAATCTTGCGAACATATGCATATAATCGAGTTCATGATAACCAATTAATCATTTGCTCTTGGCTGAAAACACATATGCTTCGGAAAAATCATATGCTCAGCCTCTGTTAAAAGCAACATTTAATGTCCCATGGGGCATTAAATCAGCTCAGGCCACATCCCAGATCAGACTAGCCTCGTAGTTATGTTCCGACGACCCCGGTGTCCTAATTAGGGGCGACAGTCGTGGTTGGAGGCCCGCTGACACCGGACTTCCTCCGTTCTCGGCACCCACGCCGTTTTTACAGTGTGACAAAACAGTACACCGGTGGGTGGCTTTTGTGGCATTAACCGGCTTTCCAGCGCAGCAGCCGGAAGTGGCGCGTTAGACCAGTCACGTGGTTCCAGGATAGGGTGACGGGTGTGGGAGGACAGTTCGGCGGACCAGTACCGATGTGCCTCTTTGCTGTCAATGCTTATTTTCATAGTTTTATGTAGTACATCCCTAACCAAAATGACATGAAAAAGAAAATAATGATTCAAGAATAACATCTCATCTTCAAAAATACTCATACTGGATGGGGACATATTAGTTTATGGGCCAAAATGTCTAATCGCAATCCAAAATAAAGTTTTTATATCTAGGTAAATGACTTTTTGTGCCACAATTGGTCACTTTATCATATGCGACTTTATAAAGTTGCAAAGTTGCACAAACAAATATGTCTGTGGCACTTTTGACCGGAACTCACCATGATCACTGATCAATGACCATAATCAATTGTCATGTTATCTGCTGCTTTTGTCCGTACTCCTCGCTATCATCCCCTCTGCCGTTGACAGTGCCGGCCGGCGGCGTCCCTGGAGTGCCGATGGCTGAGTCTGACCAAGATCCGGCGGGGAGACGTGTTACGGTTCACCTCACCCAACTACCCGTCAAACTACCCGAACCTGCACAAGTGCGGCGCCAAGTTCTACCCGGCCTCCAAGAACGTCCAGGTGCAGCTCACCTGCAACGACGTCTCGCTGTACAGCGACTCGGGCATGTGGTCGTACCTGCGCAGCCTGTTCCTCTCCTACGACTGGGTGTTCCTGGCCAGCGGGCCGTGGATGCAGTCGTTCCCGCGCGACGACTCCAACCTGCCCGCCTCGTGGACTACCAAAGCCGGAGAGAGCATCCACTTCGGCTTCTCGTCCAACCTGTACGGCACCAGCCGCGGCTTCCAGTGCACGGTGATCGGAGTCCAGGAGCAGCCGGAGACGCGCTCCTGCGGTCTGAAGAACACGGCCAGGAGGAGCGCGCGTAAACTGGGGGGTGTCAACGCCACGGCGACGGGCCGGCAGAGCCCGCTGCCGGCTCCGCTGCCCGGCGGCGGCGGCCTGGCGCCCGAGGATAACAAGATCTTTGGCGGCGAGGACGCGGAGGAGAGCGAGTGGCCGTGGATGGTGTTCCTGATCATCGAGGAGACGGACGGCACCAACGGATTCTGCGGCGGCACCATCATCAGCGAGAACTACATCCTCACGGCCGCTCACTGCTTCGAGATGGTGGTACGTTAAAACTCTCAGTACCTACTTTTTTATTAAAACTAACTTAATAATTTATTCCCTTGCACCCTCCTTTTGGATAGCAATGAGATCTTACATTTCATCGAATTCCTCCAATCAACAAAACGTATGGCTTAATTATAGTACAAAACATTGCCCTCATATTTTGCCAACGTCGGTCATCAATGGCAATATCTGCACTTCATCAGCATACCTACCCTGCTAAGCTCCCATGCCACCCAGCGCCGAACCAACACCGGCCCTGCAGAAGCTACACGACACCATATCCTGTCCTACTGGTCCACTTTAGCCGAGCAGGGGATGAATCACTGCCGCCCTCCTGCGGTATTCTCATCACCATATCGGTGGCTCGCCGCCCAGCTCGCCGCTTCGCCTGAATCGCGGCAGTGGCCCCGTTTTTACCAGCGGCGAGGCTTTTTCTGATGTCGCGCCCAAACGATTTATGCGAATGAGATGCGTAGACAAGATCAGATACATCAGCATGCAGGCTGCTAGAAGCTCAGAAATGGGACGTTGAAGTGTGTTAAGGAGGGTTTGTTTACCTGTAATGCGTCTTTGTTTTCTTGTCTGCGTTTTTGCCAGGTTCAGTAAATCTCCTCATCTGGTCTTTCCTGAGAGCACGTGCTCGCATGGTTATGCTTGTTTTGACTTGGAATGATATATACATTTCCCAGTAACTAGTATTGTATGCTTTGTTGTGTTCGAAAGCCGTTAAAAAACACATTGACAAAATAATATAAAATTAGCAAAAGGTGAATCTTTATTTTTGAATAAAATGATAGGTAGCAAAATTAAATGATCTGACCATCATTTTCACCCTCTCTTTCTCTCAGACCCCGGGCACCACAGCGACCGTGCTGTACGGAGTATCGGACCTCACGCGCACCGACGTTCAGTTCGTGATTCCGGAGGAGGTGATCGTTCACCCCGACTTCAAACGGGACGCCAATGGCGCCTTCCTGAACGACATTGCGCTGCTCCGACTGGGCACCGGGCTCACATTCAGCGACACCGTGGGACCCGTGTGCCTGCCCTCCTTCTCGGACCGAGCGAAGTCCTACCAGGGAGACGCCGAGATCACGGGTGAGTGGGGAGACTCGGCCCCAGTGGCTGTGGATAACCGCAGGGTGTTTGAAATAGACAAACACTATTCGTTAGAATTGTGTTTTTCTATAATATCGGTGAGGCTGGACCGGGTGGGACTGATCGCTGTGGGATGGCACGTACTGTGTCACCGCTGATTAGGACAGATAGTGCGGGGAACTTGCTGTTTTTTGTATACTTCCTCATTGCTTGTGGACTGCGCATGATAAACGTTACCTTTTTACCAATGTTTATTCACATGAGCCACACACTGATTTACATAGAGCTGGCTTGTTTGCATGTCTGACTCGTCGCCACTTCTCGTGTCTCCTACTTTCGCGCACCTATTGACTGCCTATAGTGCAGAGCATGTCAGATTTACTGACGATCCCCTCCCTGCAGAAGCGGACGCTTAGGAAAATGTAGTGGGGTGGCGGCGCCTTTCCTATGCAACAGCACTGCAGACTTTGCTCTAAGGAACTTCTAATAAACGTCTCGTAAACGTGATAGTTTAGTGGTCATACACGTTCACTTTATTGTACATTGTTTCAGAGAAATCGTTGGTGAGAGAGCAAATGTGATATTATCAAGCACGTTTTATCACGTCACGCCCCTAATTGATAACATTTAAATGCATTCTAAGCACGCCTTATGCCCATAGGCTCCATCAATTGGGTAACGTAGGTATGCAATGCATATAACATGCAGCACGCATATCAGAAACTCTTTCTCTCCATTATGCCGTTGCGCTCGGTCAGCTGCCGATCTCGTGGTAAGCACCACGTGACCCCTGACCCCTGCCTGACCCCTGACCCCGCTCGTCGCCAGGCTGGGGTCAGCTGAGCAACACGGACCCGCTGACATCGAGTCTACAGGAGGCCAAGGCGCGCTTGCTAGACCTGGGCCAGTGTAAGCAGCGAACGGACGACGCCGTCACCTTCGAACAGCTCTGCTCAGACCCCGTCACCGGCATGAGCGTCTGTCCGGTAAGAATTCGTGGCGTGTGAGTGACATAAGTCCAAGGTGGTGGTTAGGTAGTGCATGACGTTCATAGTCCGAAGGAACTCGCCTTCAGTGGTAGACCTATACATATGATAAAACCGAATATCGATGCCAATGAGATGATGTGTGATGTATGCCAATAAGGTGACATTTCATGCAAATCAAACAGTCTTGGCGGCGTGCAGGGTGCTAAAACGATTATACACGAGCCTCTGTCCTGACCAAGTGTCTGTTTATAAGGAGTTTTAAACTTTCTCCGCTCATATGCGTCCGGCTTTGATAGGATTTTCTCCCCGGCACCCCGCTGGTATTCATTCATGTTTTTCGCGCGACAAATCTGTTGCGCTGGCACGAGACGGCATAAATGTGCGACTTTGGGGGAGTGATTTGATTTCACTCGGTTCCTGAAATAAAGATAACTTCAATTGAGCATCTGCTACACTGAAAACAATTTAACCCAAGGCCGGCGAGTAAACCGGTGTTTCGCGGGTACCCCTATCCGCAACCATTTTTAACCACCCTCCCAAGAGTAAAGTAAGGTCCGATTGCAGTGTAGTCGTCCCTGCTCTCAGCGGACATGTTCGCTGACAGCGGTTATATCCGCTCATAGCAAGTACGACTACACCGGAATGGGATCTAGCACTACTCCTGGGAGGGTGGTTAAAAATGGTTGCGGATAGGGGTACCCGTGAAACACCGGTTTACTCGCCGGCCTTGGGTTAAATTGTTTTCAGTGTATACACTGATAACAGTTTAACCCAGGGCCGGCGAGTAAACCGGTGTTTCGCGGGTACTCCTATCCGCAACCATTTTTAACCACCCTCCCAGGAGTACAGTAAGGTCCCATTGCAGTGTAGCCGTATCTGCCTCAGCGGTTATATCCGCTCAGAGCAGGCATGACTAAAAGGGGTTACCCTCCACGCCTACCCTTCGCCGACCAAGTCACGAGGGCCAAAAAAAAACTCCCACGCTGTACCATATTTGAGGTAAATTATCTATATTATGACAATCTCACACCTATAAAACATCGGTGAGAAAGTTTCACGTCGGTGGGAACGGTCAAATCGAATTCCCATAGAAAATTCGACATGACCCAGTCACCGGTAGTCGTACAGACCGCCCGAGATCAAGAAGATGTCTCGCCACTGCTTTCGTGACCTATATAAGAATCAAAATGATTTCACTTGGTAGTTTCGGAAGAAAAGGCGTTGCCAATCGTCCCGTGATGAATAATGCAGAGGTTTTAAAGATGCATCCTAACAATTGTACTTTCGCCCCAACTTGAAACCGCCAAACAATGTGCCAATATATAATTGGTGCAAAATAAGTTAAAAAATTGCTGTAATTCAAAACTGTATGAGACAACGCCATCTAGTTGTGCCAGTAGATCCAACTCCTGCAGGGCAGGTATGTAAAGGTTCGCCATCCACGGATACGCGTTTACGATATTTCGAGTAGTTCCAACTCTTTCAGTGAGGGCTATGCCAATGACTCGACACCCGCGGGGACAATATCCGGTGCTGAGTAGCTACCTTACTGCAGACTGTGGGTACGGTGCATATTTACGAGTAATAAGGCAGGCATGTCTGCTTACCCTCTAGCTAGAATCTGGACATGGCGAGTTAATACACATATACCACCCGCAGAGCAACGCTTAATTCGCCAGCTTCGGGTAAAATTGTTTTCAGTGTAACAGTGTACGTAAGTCGTAACTAAGAATAAAATGCTTCTTTATATATCGCGCAGCTAGCATAGCTTTCAAACGGCAAAAAGACACCATCATATCCCGCGCCGGGCCGGTGCTCTGAGATTCCGCGCCGGGCCGGGGGGGGCGGGGGTGTCTGAACACCCCCCTTCTAACTCGGCTCCTGGGCCACGTAGCGACACGCGGTAAGCGGCAATAGAAAGAACGTCCAAAATAAGGACGAAAACACTTCGGTCATTTTTTTGGGTCAGGTCAAAGGTCAGGTCACCAGAGGTCACCAAAGGTAAAATGTTGACTATTTCAACATTTTGGAAACTGCCAACGGCTATCTCGGGAACCGATAGAGCTACAGCGCCGCGGAAAAGCGCATTCGATAGCCCTTTTACAGACCTTTCTGAATAATGTTCTCAGATTTGACCTCAGGTCAACAGTTTAGCCTCCAGAAGGCAAAAACTCCAAAAATAGCCGTTTTTACGAAAATCAGTTTTTCGGCAGTAACTTTTGACTCAAAAGAGCCATGACATTATTTATGCCAGCATCGTGTTCCTCTCGTCGAGACGCGTCGAATGAACTATAAGTTGACCTTGAAAGGTCAACTTGAAAATTTGACCTCAGGTCAAGGTCATGACCTGACCGGAAAAGGTCATGTTGCATATCAGTCGATCCGCAACGTCGAGCCAAACACATCTAAGGCATTTTCAGCGCTCTAGCACGCCTCTATCAGAAGTTATTAGCGAAAAACTGTTAGATTCTGTTCGTGACCTGAGATGACCTCGGGGACATAACGAGGGGTCACAGTTGCCATTTTCCGGTTCAGTGTGTCAATTTTACCTACATCTCGATGCTTGAGAGTGTCTAGAATAGCGTTCGTGCAAAACAGACGCTTTTCAATTTTCTCCCATTGACTTATAATGGAGAGGCCGCAAAATTGACCTGACCTTAGGTCACCGATATCAAAATTCCGAGATATACATTTTATAGATAATGCTGCTCTTATCAATCGCTGACAGTTTTTAAGGCAATCGATCAATCGGTGTAGCTATGACGAGCATTCTTATTTTTTCTTAGGTGAGGTCACTTGGCGTGACCTGGTGACCTGACCTAAGGTGACCTGGGTCTGAAATTTTCACAACATGTGCGGAAAAGATGCACGAACAGGTGTGCCAAAAACGGCGGCGCGGAGCGCCGCCGTTTTTGAGATATCTGCGAAAAACCACAGGGGGGGGGGTGTTTAAACACCCCCGGCCCGGCGCGGGATATGGTACAGCTGTTGCGTCAGCACGTAGCTTTGCAAATTTTCCAGTACCGTGCACTGCTCCATCGGACCACGATGCCTCTGCAGCTGCAGACGCTCAGGATCTAGTGTTAGTGTCTTGTGCGGATCGCATGGTCACTAACGTCTTGGTGCTACTCTTTTGTTCGCTACCGCAGTCTCCATTACTGATGCTAGTTTCTTATGTGATAATGCAGTCTCCAGCGCAGTCGTGGTGCTACTGCTATGTTCAATAATGCAGTCTCCATCACAGCCGCTATAGGGCCGTTGGAATATATGTGCGCGCTTGCAGTCTCCGCGCAGTGGTGGTGTTATTGTCTTGTTTGCAGTTGCAGTCTTCCGTGCTTGTGTTAGTGCTGTGTGCAGTATTGCAGTCTCCTGCGCAGTCGCGGTGCTACTGATGTGTCCGGTAATGAAGTCTCCAAAGTTGGTGTTACGCTTGTGTGCGCGCTTGCAGTCTCCGCGCAGTGGTGGTGTTATTGTCTTGTTTGCAGTTGCAGTCTTCCGTGCTTGTGTTAGTGCTGTGTGCAGTATTGCAGTCTCCTGCGCAGTCGCGGTGCTACTGATGTGTCCTGTAATGAAGTCTCCAAAGTTGGTGTTACGTTTATGTGCGCGTTCAGTCTCCGCGCGGTAGTGGTGTTATTGTCTTTTTCGCAGTTGCAGTCTCCCGTGCTTATGCTACATGTATCAGTGCTATGTGCAGTGTTGCAGTCAGTGTTGCGTGTTTTTCGCTGCAGTTTCCTACATGCAAGTGTTATTTATGTGTGTCGTCGGCCGTCGCAGTCTCTCATATGAAGTCGAGTTGCTACTGTTGTGTGCTGCAGCCTCCAAATGAAGCTTTAGAGTTCAGTTATGTGCCATGCTAAGCTATGTTCTTCGTATGCGATAAGCGGTTACGATGATTGTTTGCATTGTCTAGCGACGTTGCTGCTAGAAAACTCATTTCGCGCATTGCATGAGAGATGTCATTTAACCTCCGTAACTTCCATCCCTCAGGGCGATTCAGGGGCGCCATTAAAAATCAACGACTACGACGATCGTTATACACAGGTAAGCGTGACATTGGATCGCGAATAACGACCCGTCTCAGCAATAAACTACACTAAATATCATTTTCGGCTCATATTCTAAATTTTAAAGATTGATATTGAAGACTACATTTAAATATTCTGCAATAATTACATATGGCAAGATCAGGCTACACCAATCTTTGTGTGTTTCCGAAGAAGATACGGCCTGCAGGGTCGATGTCAATTTAGTGTTCACCGTTTTATTGCCACTATCTAACGCTGCTCGTGTCGTCGCCCGTCCGCCCCGGTAGATCGGCCTGGTCAGCTACGGCAGCGCCTCCTGCGAGGCCGACGGCAAATTCGCCGTCTACACGCGCGTCGACCAGTACCTCGAGTGGATCAGGGACAACTCGGACGTCACCATCCGGCCCTGAACACGTCATTGTAGACGTCGTAGTGATGTCATTTAAGGCATGTAGCTCTGCTCAAAACAGGTGTGGCGCCATTGTCCACTGCTGGGCGAATTCGGGTGTATATATTATGAAGACTGGCAACCGTTGATGATCATTTAACGGAAAAATGTGTTGCGATCAGACCCAATTTGCAGTTGCCGTGCTCAAAATTAGCACAGCCCGCAACGTGCGGTCACCGACATCCATTCCACCGCTCCCCTCCCCGGCATCCGGTTTTCGTGTCAGCTGGTCATCTACGGAACTGGTCCGATGGACCGGTAATTCACCCCCACCCCACCCCACCCCACCCCCACCCCCACCCCATCCTCACCCCGTCACCTCACTCCAGTGACCGAGGCGAGTTGCGTCACTATCCCCGGTGATCTGGAGAGTGTGTGCGCACGCGCCGTCTCGGAAGGGTACACCAATGATGAGCGGCGCCCATTCGAGCCTGCAGAGCGGTCACGAGACTGCTATTCACGCACCAGAGGCCTTAGAGGGGTCTGACGGTGAGCAGCACCCCGGCATAGGTACCGACCCGGTTTCACCGCCGATGTTTTTGCCCGGGGAGGGATGCGGACCGATGAAGTTCTGAGTTCCCGTTTGTTGAAAATGGCGGCACGTTGTTACGAAATGATTGATGCGGTAGGCAGTTATTGGGTGTGAGTGATGACAGGGTAGGTACGCTTGTGCACGTGATCTATGTCACCAAGAAGCGCCCGCTTATTGGCTTCCGCCCGACGAGCAATTAAAATTGTAGATTTGGCCGGGGAACAGCTTCCAGTTACAATGTTTAAAGCAACATCGAATCGCGCTGTTTCGAAGAAGCTTCATATTATTTTGTTTTTCGAGGTTCACGACTCACGTACGTACTCTTATTGCAATTGCGTGAAATAGGGATCTGCCGAAGCGTTCTGTAGTTGACGACGCTCATCCTTGCCATTGCCTGTACTTGGCGACGTTCATATTTGTCTGTGCACCCTGGAGCGTAACTAATGCCATCTCACTAACCAGGGTTGCGATTGAGGCGTGCATGGCAGCAGCAGTACCTAATCCCTAAGGAGGCAGGGCAGCGTACCGAGCGGGGCGACCGGCGAAAGTGAATGTTGATATTGTCTTGTCACGGTGGAGCGCCTGCAAACAGCGACTGGAACGCCCCGCTGTGTTTGTGATTAGCAGTCGTCAACAAGACGACATCCAACTGTCATTTGCTCAATCGAGCTGGCGTTCGCCGCGTTGTTATTGTTATCTCTATTGTTTATTGTTATTAACTTATTTTGTGTCGCTGTTGGTTTACCTATTGTTACGTGTTGCGTTGTTACGAGATGCGTTGTTACGTACAATATTTGATTAAGCCTTCTTTCGTATGCTGGAATGCTCAGAAGAATCACCAGTTGGCTGAAAGTGTATAATGCGTTATGTTTTATTGCGTCTCCGTAGTGTCTGCTTAGAAAGCCGGCGCACCTTTTTATCGTTAAGACTTGAGTGACGGCGTCCGGCGCCTGAATCTGTTACCAGCGGCGCCGTGGCCAACAGGAATTCCAATCAGAGAGGAGAAACTACATTGCTCGCTCGTGCCATGCCGTACATCCGGCCCCTCGGGATGTTGTCCGGGAATAAACCTCTCGACATCAAAACGCGTGTGTTGTGTCCCTCCAATAAAAGGCGAGTTGGCTGTTGAGCTGCGAGGCGAATTACAAAGTGCTAGCTGGGAAATCAGTAAAAATTGTTAGGGATCGCTAGGACACTGGACAGTCATTTGAAAAAAGTAGCAAACGATTACTTTCAGTGCACAGATTTCGTTTCGGAGGAAGTCATGGTCTTTCAAAGCCCATTTGACATAAGCCGTTCCAATAAAGCCAGAAAGCATCGCAGTCTGATAACTTTTAATGTAAGGAATGGCAAAATAGCAAAACATGCGTTTAGTCAAATGCCAAATGATAAGCAAGATTTTATTTCTCTAGTGTAGGTAAAAGATGAATATGACTTGACGTGTTGTGAGGAATACTATAAATTAGTTGTCCTTTTCAACTTCTTACGACGAAGATATTTTACTTATGTGGCGCAGAATATCAGCTAAATTAGTGTTCAAAAGCTGAGCATGCTGCATTAAAAAGTTCAGTGATGCTGACTAACAGATTTTATAAAAGTGATTTATCCTGTTGGTGTTTTATTGAGTTTCGTTGAGTAAGTTAATATTTCTTGACAAAAATGATTGTTTAGATGGTATTTCATGGTTAATTTGAAACAAAACCCATTGATGACTGAGGCGTGACTCTCTGCTAACATTTACCAATGCTGACATCTTTCAGTGGTCTTAGAACACCACATAGGCATTTTAGTGTGTGGGCGCGCGCGGTTGAAGATTAGTTGTGTATTTTTATATTATTCGTTATTTTTCGCTACTAGTAAGCAAACACAATGAAGATCGTAGAGCACGTTATTGCAGTCACTTTTTTCTTATTTTCTAGTTTTAATTTTTTTAGTTAAAGGAAATAGTTCACTTTCACGAAATTATTTTTTTTGCAACGGATTTATGATTTTTTATGTTCAAAATAATCAGCAAAGAAAATAAAACCTTTTTATAACAAAATATTATTTTCTATATTTTGATATAGGACGAACTTTTCAGTTTCTGTAAGGCACACGCGATCCAGTATGAAAAGAGCATGGGTCCCGAAAATTCTTCAGAAACAGAGAAATTATCGCAGCCACCGGCATTTGGGCGATCTGCTCGATCTGATAATGTTCCCCTCAATGTCCTAATGGGTGCAGTTATTTTTTTACATCTTAGTTTTTGTTTACGCGTTTTTAGACGTTTCTCGGCGCACTGTTGTTGAAGTTATACAGGCCTATTTTACAGCTATTTTTTATTCACAAAACTGCTGCAATTTTTATAACTTTTTTTTTGCATATTAGCATTTTGATGGAATTGGAATGCATCAAAAGATTTTTATTCTTAAATCTTGAATGCCAATATAATAACAATGTGAATCGAGCCACGCTCGTGGCGAAATATTACGAATCAATGATAATAACAGTAACCGGCAGAAAATATGTAATCTCTGCAAGATATCGATACAGTTACCGCGATTGTATAAGATACTATATATTCCGCGTGAAATTGACAGGATATACCACAAGAATAATAGCCTTAACAAATATTGAAATAACTGAAAGCTCATAATACCCGATTAGCACTGCTAAGGCTGACCATTTTCTTCGATAATTAAATGCTTACCATACCATAGCATCTGAAGATAATGAACTTGAACCTCGAAAAGCGAGTTGTCCAGTTTCAGTCTCAGTTTGTGCGGTACTGGGACACATTCATAATCAGTGAATCAAATAAAAATTGTCGGGGGCATCATGCTGTGATTATATGAACCAGTTAATATGTATAAAATCTAGTTATTGGCCAAACGTAACGGCCACGGACCGTAGGTTGACGACCCCGAAATTTAGCGAAATGAAGTATAGGTTCAAGCAGTTTAAATAATGCTGGTGCGTGGAGTTGAATAGTGATGTAAATGTGGCCACAGTCTACAACCACGATAACAAATATCGATTGCGCTTCGCTCAACCAGAGCCATGCTCGTTCTTGCTCATGAAGCAGTGCATCCCTATAAAATGAAAAGTCTGAACTGAACGAATGCATTCAGGTTCCTACCTCTGAATCACCTTATATTGAGATCCGTTTCTTAACAGGAACACAAACGCGGCCCATCAATTCGTCAGTACTAAGGCAACAACGTCTGACAAGTGACAACGCATCAAGATCAAATGGCCAACTTCTGACACTATCTACCAATACGGTAACGGCAATAAAATTGCATTGCAAAATGCAAATAAAATTGCACGCCTTCCAAGCGCAGTTTGAAACCAAGTGCGGCCAGCTAGTGTCATTTTCACAACCAAGTGCGACCAGTTAGTGTCTCGAGACACATTACAACTGCATAGGTACCGCAGTAACACATTAGGGGCGAAAGGAAACACATGACTTGTGTACGACCAGCGTTCTGTCAGCGTACGACGCATAAAGCAAACTGCTCAAACAACTGCGGTCCCGAACAACACAACACAGAGCTCCGAAACGAATGGCTTACAAAAGTCTACGACTGACGACATCGAAACAGTACGTTCATCGGGACTAGTCACATGACTCGCTCAACCCAGCTGGGTTATGGGTACTAATTGCGCTTCAAATTGACCTCTGACAGCCATTTACTTACGCTAGTTTGATGCATAAAACTGTACATTGAAACTCAAGCGGCAGCACATAGGTCTCCATCAAGGTGGTTATATACAACAGAGCACCACGCTAAAACGAGCGCGAGCCGCACTGTCACACTGACAGAACACTGAGCCGCGAGTCGTGACAGTCGCACTGCGTCATATGCACGCAGATGTCGCACTCACGGCACCGTTGCTGGCACTGCGCTGCGGGTGGACACGCGCGGTGCAGTAACTAGCTCCACGGTGTGCGGCTCACCGGAGGGATTACCAGTCTCCGACCGGACAGTCCAGGCGGGAAATGCGGTGTCTTCAACCATGACCGCCGTCCCCGTCTCCGCGGAGTGCCGCACGGCGGCGACGCGGCGGCGTCGGATCTTGAGCTGGTGGACACTTGTACTCCTGCCAGAGCTACCAGCTTCAACCCTTCAGCATCCTGTCATCAGCAAACTCCAGCAGAGCTCCAATTAAACTGGGAAAATAAAATTTATGCTGTTAAGCTAAATCACACAAAACATTTCCTTGCACAGGATTCTCTTGCGCAGTTCAGCAAAATCTTCTGTGATATCCATGGCCGTGACAAGAGGACTTTATGCCATTGTAAAAAAACATAGGTTCATTGGTTCTCATTTACCCACATCGAGCTTCTATAGGTACCATTCATTTGTATATCATGAAGTATGTTAACTACACAATATTTATGCAATAGACTGACATGAAATATGTAGGAATGGCAAGAGAGATGGGTAAATAAGCCAAATAGGTTGCAGGATTTATTGTCACCAAACAGGTCAGAAAGTAGAAGTTCAAACAATCTTACAAACTACACCAGAGAAAGTCTTTGAATTAGGTGCAAAATTATGCCACAGAAATAAAAGCAATGCAGTTTTGTAGAGCATTTCCCAAAAGATAATTGTGATTCAGCCTTGCTCCCATTCTGAGATTGAATAAGTACAAATTATGGGGTGAAAGTTACTAAAAAGCAGTTTTTTTTTTAGAAAACAGCTTCAATCCATGTTTGCCTGATTTCAAACTCAAGGCAACATATCATAGCTTTGACAGCATGAAATTTCATTATTGAGGTTACAATTTCCATTATCTTGTCACAAACAGTGCACTTTAATAAGGATAACACCAAATCAGCCAACCCTGCATCTTTATCTGGTGAAACTCAAGAAACTAATAAAGCAAACAATTTCTGAGCAAAACTTAAGTATTTGACAAGCTCAAGCACCATGCAGCCACTGGAGTATGATGGGGTCTCGTAACTTGAACGTTCAGTCTGTAAGAGCATGCCTGACTTGACTTAACAGATTTGAGGCATCACAAAGACCTTTGCAGCAGCTCCTTCTATTCTTTTTTAACATTAACTTTAACTATCATTACCATGCTATGATGATGAGATGGCTGGTTTCGGGAGCATGAAAAGTAGCAGCCCTTCTTTCATTCTATTTCCTTGTTTTCACATGCTGCACAAAATGTTTTTTCTTCCACGTTCCTTCTGTCATTATAGAAAATAATAGGGATCATAATTGCTTCACTTCTTCCTTATATTTCAAGTATTGCTGCAGCAATTCATCACATCTCCCGTTAGTAAACCATTGCCCTATGGCCGCTAAAGTAAATAAGTGGAATGCGCCAGAAATTGTCAAAATCGCGCCAAAATAGCAAACTAAGATGAGAAAAAATAACCGCACCCGTCCTAATTGATCAGTACGAGAATTTCTCTAGAGTTCTCGTAGATAATTTCTCTAGTTTCTGAAGAATTTTCGGGACCCATGCTCTTTTCATACTGGATGGAAATATATGCAAGGCACACATCCTCAACGCAAGACACCTTTTTCGGGACGAGAAATAGAATATCTTTGCCTAGGGTGATCGTTGGGCTGTAAAAGCTCCTGATTTATGCTCGTCTCAGCCCAAGCTACGGAACTGCTATTCCAGTTCAAAACCCATGTTAAAAAGTGAACTATTTCCTTTAACCATGGACCAACGAATGATAAATTTCTGCCTTTAAATTGTTCGCAATCAGTTGCTTCCGTCTTCCACCAAGCTTCAATTTGAATTAATGGCTGTTTTCTCTCTTCTGATAGACAACACTTTTTGAGTTAAGATAACTCACAGAACTGTTTTCCTTGTATAGAAGAGCAATGCGCAAATCAAACTGATAAGCTCGGAATGATACTCCCAACATGTCAATTTATTTTGTCACTTGTTGCCCACTGTCTGGATGGTCTGGATTATGTGTCTGGAAAAACTCCTGGGTTCAATCTCTCAAAATGCTGTATATGTGCATATACCACAGTTGGTAACATTCAAAACTATTCAGCATTCATTTATTCATTCCTTCATCATTATTCATTCATGCAACATTCATGATCAGTTACGGTAGGTATCAAAATCATTGGGCATGATTAGCTTGGATGCAAATAAAAGAGGTATCCTTGATATCAGTGCCGTTAACTCCAGCCAGTGCTGCCAAATCCTATATACATAACGGCATTGGTGACTGAGCCTGGGGCCTGGGCCCTGTACAAAGGAATAATTTTTAGCAAATTTTAGATTCCTAATGAATAAAATTAGGTGTCGTGATTGATGGTAAAAAACTGAATCATGTAAGAGTTTTTTGTGTATAGTGAAAATGGGCCTGTCTTGTCTCTTTTCTTGAGTTTAATTATGCAATGATGGCAATCATATAGTATTGATATCCAGATTACCCAAACTAGCAAATTGTGCCATTCCATGCTGCATCCTGATACCAGAAAATGGCAACTTTTCCAACCTTGGACTGACTGGAGAGTGGAGTGACATCCATTGGGGCAGGCCGTAGTCATCCCCATCGGGCCCTGCGTGCACGGTTCTCAGCGGGCGGCAGGGACAAATGACGTCACCGAGGGTGCACTTTGATCCTGGCTTGTTGTGTCATAAATTGATGTTTCTCTACATAAAAATCCATTTCAAATCAAAGAACAGCAGTTATTCTTTCATTTTTGTTCACTAGCATTGGCTGTTGAATGCTTTTTGAGAAAAGAAATGCCTTTTAGTGTTTGCAGTGAATTAGTGGGCAATGTCAAATCGTTGCAGTGTTTTAGAGGACATTTTAACGGAATTGACGGCTCTGGCGCAGATGTTTCAAACAAAAAGTTTTGAAAAACAGTGATAAATTCCGTTGATATTATATTATTTGTGAGTATATATGTCACACTGGGTGGTTTTTATTGGAGATATGACCTAATACACTTTATTACGGATATCCGATATTACTTAGAGCAGCTAGGGAACATTTCCTATAAGTCTTTGGTGCATTATCGCCTAGTTAACTGTTTATTGAGATTACAGGCTCCAGCTTGAAGTTAGAACTTAAACTCTTTTTTGATAATATTGATAAGGAAGCTCTCAGCGTCTCACAAAGTAAATCTTGTCGACCTTTTCTCATTTTGTAATACCTGTCTCTGCCTGCATGAGCCTGCTGAAGTTAATGTTTGTAATTTGTATGCCTAAGTTATTGACAATGCGGCAATGCGCCTCAGTTATCAGTATGCTCGTGTTGGTGTGGTGAACAGAAAATTAGATCATTAGATCGCGTACTAGCATACCTGCTCTTGTCTGAAACCATTTTCTTGGGTATTTAGGTGGCTAAAAGTCTAGACTCTTGGTAAAGTCGATAACTATTTGATGTGATGTTTTCCTAATTGCCTTATTTTGTTCAATCATGGGATTTTACAATACCTGTGAGAAGTTTGCAAGGTTTTGATTGGTATGTATAGGTTCCTATGTCCTATATTGATGTGACAATGTTCTTTTTCAGATCTTGGTCTGTGAGCAATGAGCATAAACTGTGAAAAATGGAGTGAGGTCATGGATGAAGTATTCCTAATCCTCAGGAATACCTAATCCATGGTGAGGTTGAGCCAAGTCATAGCCAGATCATTATCAACTTGTACTTGTAGTCATGGTAATGTGGTCGATCAAAGCAAATGATGAACTGAACTTTTTAAAGGTATCTATAACCTATCCAAAGAGAAGAACATGCTGTAAGGCTAGATTTCTCAATGTAAGCAGTCTGTTCCAAGCACTGTTCTTCTGAAAATGTTCATCCAGACATCCGACCAGCAACCTATCCAGTGATGCTGTGGCTGATGGCGGAGGCAAAGCACCAACTGTTCTTGGTGCCTGGTAAGTACCCAGTAAACATGACGACGTCGGCCCGACGTCGGGCCGAGGCTCGGCCCGACGTCGGTCCAGCGTCGGTTCAACCTCGGCCCGACATCGGCTGGACGTCGGATATGCCCGCATGTTCCGACGTCCAGCCCAAGTCCAGCCGACGTCGAGCCGACGTCGGGCCGAGATCGTTTGCCGAGGTTGACGAGATCGTTTGTCGTTGGACCGACGGGGCCGACGTCGGCATGTTTATTGGGACAACGCGCCAAAAATATCAACCGGCGGCGGGATTCGAGCCCCCCAGTCGCCGACGTCAGCATGTTTACTGGGACAACACGCCAAAAGCATCAACCGGCGATGGGATTCGAACCCCGTGTCATTCGAACGCGAGGTTAGTGCGCTAACCACTACACCACGCAGCCAGCTAACGACTTTGGTTTGTTTTGTTGGGTTATGCCCTTTCGGTCTGACAAGACCATTTCAGAGCCGGAAGGATTATAGGATGGAGACATTGGTCTTCTTGGCGAGCACCCTGGGTCCAGTTCATATAGAGTCCCTGGTCACATTGCTGTTACGTGACACTTTTTGGAAAGGGCGACCCCACAATGGATTCATATAGCCACTCTTACACACCTGCACCAACGTTTCCCAAAGTGTCCCTTTGATAAGTGGCACTTTGGCAAAGTGACACTTGCCGACTGGCCTTTCTATATGAACTGGGCCCGGCCCTGGTGAGTTGCCGGGGCTGAGCCTGACCAAAGGATAGGCCGAGCAGCCCCCAAGCACTCACCGCACCCGGCTACGGGCGAGCTCGGCTTACGGGCAATCCCAAATGGGATAAAGTTTCCCGTCCAGTCCGGATCAGGGGGTTGCGGCGTGGAGGAAGATTTGAGTTTCCTGAGGATATTTTGAATACAGAAGCTCTTTATGAAACATGAAACATGCATTTTATATTATTTTAACGGTCAAAATAGCGCCCGATGTCGGTCCGACGTCGCCCCGACGTCGGCCCGACGTCGGCTGGACCTCAGCAATTTATCTCGGTCCGACATCGGCCCGACGTCGGCTGGACCTCGGCTGGACGTCGGAACATGCGGGCATATCCGACATCCAGCCGACGTCGTGCCGAGGTTGGACCAACGTCGGGCCGACGTCGGCATGCTGATGCCGAGTTGCCGACGTCACCCCGACGTCGGCCGACGTCGGGCCGACGTCGGCATGTTTACTGGGTAGTATGGACCATTTCATTTTTATACCAAAGAAATAGATTTATTACTATTGCTAGTGTTATGCTAGACTTACCTAGGGTATTTGCCAAACCTGTCTCAACATTTCATCTAGCTACTTCTTCATTTGTCATTAGATTTTGTATTACCCTTAGAAGTGTCAGTGCTGATTTAGTCTAAGGGTCAGGCAACCCTGATGACGATGAGAGAAGCAACTGGCTGGAAAACTGTGACAATAACAGCATCACTCAACAGTCAACACAGGGATGGTTGTCAGGACAACCATAGATATAAGTATCATTGTTGTTTTGTTAGGACTAACAATAGGAACAATGATACTTATACCTCACCTCAAACTTTTTTGAAGAATCATAAAATGATCATGCGCATGTCTGATGTTTTGTATGCTATTTGTGTGTGTCCATGTGCGATGTGCATATCTATGAGAGAAATATACCTCTGGGCTGTGCGTTCTCCTATCATGTGCCAGTGAGCGGGAAGAGCATGGGTTTGTGTACTCGTTTGTGCATCTGTTCATGTGCTTAATGTTAATATCTGTCCTCCCTGTGCTGGTGCAGGTGTGTGCACAAGTAGATGAGTGCCGTTCATCGCCGCCGTCTTTCTGGACCTTCGCTCATCGCCGTCGTCTGTCGGGGCCTGCAATTCGGTCGTCGCCGTCTGCCGGGGCCAGCCAGCTCCAGATTGATTCCTGCCTATCGCCGCCGTTTGCGGGGACCTGCAATGTCGCTGCCGTCGTCAGCCAGAGAAGCTGGTCACAGTCATCGAAGAGCAGTGATCTCCGCCGTTCGAAGAGCTGTGTAATATATATCATGTGTTGTCGCCTGTCAGTCCCCAGTGGAGTTCTCATGTGCTGTCCGTCGACTGGCGAGTCCCATGATATGACATCTGAGGATCACCCACCGGCCACCGTTTACCGGCGACTCTGAGGGCCGTCAGCCCCGAGTCCCTAGATATCCTCAGCTCGCACCCGGCAGCAGTCTCTGTCGCATCTGGAGTGTATTCTATTCTAAAATACTTGATGCATTGCGCTGCTTCTTGTGTTAATATGTTGGGAAACTTGGAAAGTGTTAACAACGGTATATGTGCGAAGTGGAAGCCGTGTAAAGTCGTCTGCGTATTCATTTCAACGGTGGTTAATGCGAAGTGATATTGGTCGAAACTGTTTTGTTATTCGTAAGCTTGTCATTGAGTATGACTTCAGGAATGAAATTGCGCGCCTCGCAATTTCAACGAAAAAAAAATGAGAGTTACGGTGTCAGCAAGACGTCAAATTATTGTCGCTGCATGACAGCGGCGGGTTATATTGCTACTCGCCCAGCGGTCCCTGAGGGCGTCGGCGGGCGCCGTCCGGCTGTGCACCCCCGAGGAGGCCCAATCAGCACATCTGACGGTCGCCCAACGGCGACTCTGAGGGCCCCACTGGCGTCTTTTAGTACCAGTACCATGCCGGTCTCTAAGAACCGCTCAGGGTTCCGGAAGGCATCCCACGGGCCCCCGAAGGCACCACACAAGCTCTCACATAGTCACGCTCAGATCTGATAGGTCTCATACCGCCATCTGAGAGCCCCACGCCAGCGCTTTTCATAGCCCCACATCGGCATCTGCATGAGCCCCATCTCGGCGCCTCTTGGGACCCCACACCGGCGACCCTTTTGGCCCCACAGCGGCACCTCTAAGGGCCCCACACCAGTGCTTCTTTGGGCCCCACACGGCACACTGGCACCTCTGATGGCCCACACCGGCCATTCTGAGGGCACTCATCAGCGCCTGAGAGTACCACGCCGGTCTTCAAGGGTTGTACAGGCTACTGAAGGCACCACGACAGCTCTTAAATCTCGCTGAGCTTTAATAGGTCCAATAATTGCCTCTGAAACTAAACGCCAGGGCTCTCATAGCCACACACCGGCACCTGTAGGGCTTTTCTATATCAGCGACTCGTAAGGCCCGCTCACCGGCACATCCGTCATCCGATGACCGCCCACTGGTGACTCTGAGGGCCCCCGTCGGCATCCCAGAGTACCATGCCGGTCAAGGGCTCCACAGGTCTACTGAAAGCACCACACAAGCTCTTCAATAGTCTTGTTGAGCTCCATTGGGTCCCATACCGGCCCGGGCCTGGGACTCCATTTCAGCGCACTTCATTGCTCCACACCGGCACCTGTAGGGGCTTCGAACCGACGACTCTGTGGGCCGCACTCTGTCATAAAAGCCCTGTCTCTGAGTACCCTATACCGATCTATCATAGGGCCAACACCGGCGCACCCGACGGCCACCCACCGGCGAATCTGGGGGCCCATACTGCCGTCTGCCGAGTCCCGTGATATCCGCGACTGTCACCCGTCGGTAGTCTCAGTCGCAGCTTGAATATAGTCTGTTAACCTAACCTGACCTTACCTTACTTACCTCGATTCAATTTAACCATGTGTGCCCTTTTTTCATTCCATCATACTCTTTTCGCTTTGTATTTCAATAGCCGCCCCCGCCGAGCGATCCCGCGGCGGCGTCGGCCGGCGCCGGCCGGCTGTGCACCCTCGGTGACGTCATCCCGCCACCTGCGCAGAAAAGCTGCGCACTGGGATGATTCTACCTGGTATATACTGCCTTGCATTGGGGTACCCCCCACCAAGATACCTATAAGAAACAGGTAGGTCCGATGTTTTGAGTAAAGCCCAGTAAAGCCCGGGTGACGTCACTGACATTTCTTATATGGAGAATTTCGCCCATAAGGAAAATATTTTACATACGAAAATTTGTAATTCATTAGGAAAAAATACATTCTATCAATTTCATCATGAAACTTATATAATTTAATTAAAAAACTTGAAATCCTTTGAGTGCTTGTCCCAACCCCTGCTATACCTTTGGTCACGTGACTTCCATGATTGTCACCACCGCTCACCGTTCATTATTCAGTCAAAGTCAAACTTCGTAAACGCGCTCTTGCCATTTGTTCGCTGTATTGCGTCGGATGTGGGTGGAATGGAAATTGAACAATCAAGGGTTGAAAATGGAGACGTGGAAAAGGAATATGAATGGCGCTGCTAGCGGTTTCTGAAACAGCAACAAGCACACACATGCAACATCCCGTTAGTTAGGCCAACCACGGCGACATGCACGGGTCAACAGCGCAAGACAATGTACACGCAGTGATAGAGACAAATGATGAAAGTTTGCGCATAAACAGAAGCAGGGCCAGATTACGATGCCATGAACTGTTGCAACGACACCAACACTGATAGAAACAGAACGAACGAGAATTACGCACCAGAAGTATTTGCCTCTGACGGTGGTGGTGAATAATTGCTGGCAGATAAGCAGCAGGCATTAGGTACATGCAATCAGGCCAGGCAACACACGTCCGTATCATGCGATTGCGTCACATGCTTGTGCCACACTGAAAGAAAAATAAAAAGGGTCACAAGGAGGTCACCACATCCTCCCCACCGTGTGCGAGGCAGCGCACACTACTCCGTCGGCGCCACGCAAACTAAAGCAACACTCCACCGCGCATCACACTTTCACATCTCTAGTATATATCGTCCGCTCGCTCAACTTCTCAGCCAGCGCACAGGCCACATATGCAATGGCACTGTCTTGAACACATCACGCTGATGTGTCGCTCAGTCTCAACACCACAGCTGCACCGATGGAGAGCCTTAGCCCTAACGAGCATGATCGGCGGGTTCACCACTCACTCCACGAATGGTGACACCCTCTCCGGCTCTCATCACCAACGGCTCACCCACAGAACACGCTCATACTGTCCGGCCACCGCGCACCGTGCGGCGATCAGCATAGCGGCGCCAGCCGTGATCCTGGATCCGGCACGCCGTTCATCATCTTCTCCCGGAGCTCGGTCACAGGTCCGCCGTTGCGGTCCAGCTGCATCCTCGGGACGTCGCCACCGTCGTCCGTCGTCTGCTCATCCACCGCTTTCAAGGTAAGAGGCAGATGGATGGTCAGGAGCGGCGGGCATTGCTGGGATAAGGACACCTTGGTTTTCAGTCGGATGACTCTTCTAAGAGGCATATTTTTGCCGCCGGCCGCCGGTAGACAGCACCTGAACCTGTCTTCACTTCAACAGAACGTACCCGGCCGTCACTTCCCGGGAAGACTTCAGTGATTCTCGCCAGGGGCCAGAATCCTCGTGGAGCGCTTTCTTCGATCATCAACACAACATCTCCCACCTTCAGGTTTCTTCGTTCTCTCAACCACTTCACTCGAGGAAGTAGAGAGGGAAGATATTCACACCGCCACCTCTTCCAAAATTGATCAGCAAGGGTTTGTGTTTGTCTCCAACGCCTCCTGCTGTTTACTTCCTTGCTTTGGAACCTTCCTGGGGACATGTTGGCGTTAGCACATCCAAGTAACAGATGGTTGGGCGTAAGAGGCTCCAGATCTCTTCCATCTGAACTGACGTACGTCAGAGGACGCCCATTGAGCATTGACTCGACTTCTGTCAGTAGAGTGTGCAGCACCTCATCAGTCAGAACGGTCTCTCCCACCACGATCTTTAGCGCTCTTTTCACGCTTCCCACAAGGCGTTCCCACGCGCCGCCCATGTGAGGTGCTCCTGGAGGTATGAAGTGCCATTGAATGTCTCGCTGGCTACACATATCAACTATTTTTGTCTGCTCCCACTCCATGAGGGATTCTCTCAGCTGACGTTCTGCTCCGACGAAATTGCTGCCGTTGTCAGAGAACAATGATCTTGGCCTCCCTCTTCGTGCAAGAAAACGCCGCAGAGCCAGCAGAAAGCCATCAGTGTCCAGGCTCTGTGCCAACTCAAGATGTATAGCTCTCGTAGCCAGACACGTGAAGAGAACTCCGTAGCGCTTCTCTGTTGAGCGAGCACGCTTAACCATCATTGGCCCAAAGTAATCAACTCCTACTGAGCTGAACGCACGCTCGTCGTTGAACCGAGCACTTGGAAGATCTGCCATCATCGGCACTTGAGGGCTGCAGCGCCTCCGTTTGCAGACGAGGCAGCCGTAGATGACCTTCTTCACCAGGGATCTCCCTCGGCACAGCCAGAACTGCGAGCGTAACTCAGTCAACGTTCGCTCCAAACCTGAGTGGAACACCCGCCGATGTGCATCTGCGATGACCAGGCGAGAAACTTGTTCGTCAGCAGGGAGGATCGCTGGGTGCTTGCTTGCGAATGTCAGCGGTGCCCTGTCTAGACGTCCACCGACGCGGAGTACACCATCGCTGTCCAGGAATGGTGTTACATGTTGCAGTGAGGTGGATTTGACGGTCTCTCCAGATTGCAGTGCGCGAACCTCGCTCTCGAAGTGACGTCGCTGCAGATCCCGCAGAATAACTGTCTCGGCTTCGCTTAGTTCGGTCGCTGAAAGAGGTCCAGCTGATCCCTCATAACACGCCGGCCGAGCTCGTGCGGCGAAATTTCGCACGAATCTCTTCATCCATGCTACAACTCGCTTCAGCTTTAGCCAGGATGAAAATCTTGATGGATCCGGGAGGACCGCCTCGGACTGCTTCTCGGTGCTCGTCGTGCCACAGATACGTACTTCCGGATCAGTTGAACTCACTGGTTCTGGTACGCTTTGGCATGGCCAATGGTCTTCGTCGTACTTCAGGTACTCTGGTCCACACATCCACCTTGCATCTGTGACCAGTTCTGGGACTGTGAGACCCCGAGAACACGCGTCTGCCGGGTTTTGCTCCCCAGGTACGTGGTACCACTGCTCAACCTTGGACGTTTCCCGAATTTCTGCCACGCGATTGGCGACGAAAGTATGAAATCTGCGACTTTCGTTGCTCAGGTACCGCAGCACAACTCTACTGTCTGTCCAGAAAACCACTCTGTTCAGGTCGTAGGTGAGCTCTTCACGAAGAGACGCTGCTAATCGCGATGCCATCACTGCCCCCTGAAGCTCTAACCTCACAATGGATATCTGCCTCAAAGGTGCCACTCGGGTCTTGGCTGCCACCAACGTCACATTGAACTCCCCACCATTCGACACCCTCAGATAAGCAACGGTGCCGAAGGCTGACTCAGACGCGTCGCTGAACACGTGCAGTTCCAGACGCTGATCACTGTCTTGACCACTCCCTCCCAACCATCGTGGAACAACCAGGTCCTCCAACTGGCTGAGCTCAGCGACCCAGTCCATCCAAGCTTTCAGTTCGTTGTCCTTCAGTTCATCGTCCCATCCATAGCCGTTCGACCACAATTTCTGCACCAGCAGCTTTGCTCGGAGAGTGAACGGGGCTGCCAGTCCCAGCGGATCGAACAGCCGAGCTACAGCTCGCAAGACTCCACGTTTAGAAAGGACAGATCCTGCATTGATTGCACGTACTCCCAGAGAATCAGCAGTGGGATTCCAGGGACATCCCAGGACACTCTCCGTTTTCCTCAGAGTACCTCCGTGGGCACGCTCCTCTTCGGGAATGTCCAGCAGGACTTCTTCAGAGCTGCTTCTCCATTTCGTCAACCGAAAACCACCCTTTGAGACTAGATCGGTTACTTCTCGCCGCATGGCCTTAGCAGCTTCCACGGACTTTTCACTCTTCAAGAAGTCATCCATGTAAAAGTTTCGATGAACAGCATCCAGCGCTCTGTTACAGACATCGGTGCCCGTCGCATGTTCCACAGCTGTCCTACGTAGAACATAGTTAGCTGACGCCGGGCTACATTTTGCTCCGAAAATTGTCACAAGCATGGTGTAGGTATCTGGTGGCTTCTCTTGTTGCATTTCCCTCCACAGGAAGCTCAGGGACGCCTGGTCCTCAGTGATCACGCGGACTTGGTGATACATTTGTTCAATGTCACCCACCAGTGCGACACGTTCCTCACGAAACCTCAGAAGCACACCTGGAAGGCTCAAGAGCATGTCTGGTCCAGAAAGCAGCTCCGAGTTCAGTGAAGTTCCTCGACAGCTTGCGGCAGCATCGAAAACAAGTCTTAGCTTGCCAGGTTTGTTAGGGTTGCTAACGGGATGGTGTGGTAAGAACCATCTGCGCGGATGATACTGCACCAACTCTTCATTGGTGAGCTTCCGAGCAAAACCTAGATCTAGATAGCTCTGGATGATGTCTTGATACTGAGTTGCTTTCACAGGTTGGCGCAGGAGTGCTCTCTCCAGACCCTCCAACCGTTGAACGGCCATAGCGCGATTGTCTGGAAGCTGTACGCCTTCTGTTCTCCAGATGAGTCCTGTTTCGTATCTTCCGTCGACCAACTTCGTCGTCTCCTCCATGATTTTCTCTGCTCTTTCGTCTTCACGTGACTTGGCCGACTGCTGATTTACCTTCACTCCAAAAGACTCTGTCGTCCACCATTCTTCAACTGCCGCTGACAGCTCCGGATCCACTGCACTCTTCCGGATGAACATCACGTCACGGTGCCTCCCGGGGACCAGGCCTCTGATTGTCCCCGTCAGAGTCCAGCCGAACGCCGTTTTGACGGCCACTGGTTGTCCAGGAGCACCAACGCGAGCTTCTTCCTGGAGGATTGCTTCTAACACGTTGGCTCCAAGGAGCAGCTTGATCTCTACGTTCTTGTAGTCAGGTAAGTTCAGGTCAGAGACGTGCTTCCATGAGGCCTTCTGCTCTGCGGTGATGTGTGGCGGGTTCACGTTGATCATCGGAACTGAAAATGCTTCAGGAACCTCTATCGTCGACTCACAGTTGGCGTCACAACCTGGACTGACCATCAACCTCACTCTCTGAGAACTATGTGGGACGCCAGTCCCTTCGACATTTTGAAGACAAAGGTTGCTTCGGGCACCTGTTATCTTAAGAGACGACAATACATCAGCGGTGCAAAGTGACGTCTGCGAACCGGGATCAAGCAGGGCGAAGACATCCTGGAAGTCACTGGCTTCTCCGTGTATACGCACCGGAACTATCTGCAACAACGTCACGCTGTCATCTGGCCGAGGAAAGGAAGTGGACGTGACTGTGCGCTTCGTTGACGTGTCCACCCGAAACTCTTGCTGGGACTGAGAGGTCTCTGTTCTGTCAGATGGAAGCACGTTTGAATACGACGCTGGTCCCACCACTCGCTTACTTCCATGCAATAGTTCGTGGTGTCTCATGACGCATCCATTCCTTCCGCATGGTCTTGCGTACCTGCAGTTTCGAATCCGGTGGCCCGGCTCCAGGCACACAAAGCACAATCTCTGGCGTGCCACGAACTGAGCTCTTGTGTCGACACACCAACTGAGGAATGTCTGACACTCCACCAGATGATGTGTTTCTCCGCAACAACTGCACACATCTTGTCTCTCGCTGGTTGTCAGCAGAGCGGTCCGCTTTGCACTGGGGCGTCGCTCAAACGTAGTACAAGAAGACGCGCAGTTCAGCGCTATCCTTACCTGTCCACCCAGCCAAGTAGAGAAGGTAGCCAGAGAAGGAGTGTCACGAGCATGCTCCACTTCGAACTTGCTCCACTCACGACGGAGATCAGATGGGAGCTTCTCGACAACCCTCTGCAAGTTCTCGTGGCTGTGCAGATCTCCTTCATAGTGTAGACTCTGCAGCACTGTAACAGTGCAGTTGACAGTGGCATAGAAGTCTTCCAAGGCTGGAGCACTGAACTGATTTATACGAGGTGCACTGAACATTGCGTTCAAGTGAGCTCGAACCACATCCCTTTCTCTTCCGAATCTTTCCTTTAACACAGCCAAAGCTTCTTGATAAAGCTCAGGATTGTACAAGAACCCTGCAATCGTCTTCTGTGCCAAACCCGTGACTGCCGCTTGCAGGTGTACCATCTTTTCTGTGTTTGACAGATTCGGTTGAGAGTCTACCAGAGCTTGGAAAAGGCCAAACCACTGCGACCATTCCAGGGGATTTCCGTTGAACTGTGGAAGCTTCACCTTAGGGATGCTCTTGCTGAATACTGCACACTGTTGATGTGCTCCTCTGGGCTGACCATCCTCTTTCAGAGCACACTCTTCATTTACCTGGGGAGCGGTCTTCTCTTCAGAGCACGGGCCTTCAACGAAATCGTCCCGCCGTTCCCATTGTAGGTCATCCAATGCTGCTCTTTGCAGGCTTGCTTCCAGTTTCGCCATTTCATGAGCATCTGTTGCTTCCATCAGCTTTCTTCTTCTGGCTAGGTCTTGTTCTTGTGCTTCTAGCTGAAGACGCTCTTGGGTTTTCTTCAACTCCAGTTCCCTCAAGCGCCTCTGGATTTCTGCTTCCCTGGCTTTAGTTTCCTCTGGACTCACAGAACTTCCAGACTTTCCTGAGATTGCGGACTTGCTTGATGCCGTTGATGGGGCCTCATCCTTTCTGGCTTCAAGGTGCTCACGAATCCGTTCAACAGCTTCTGAATGCTGCCTCTCCACATCTTTGATGTACAGCTCAGCTGCTTCCACTTCTTCAGCTGTGCTCAACAAGGCGGTATACTGGTCATGCACCTCCTGCACAGCATCCAATGCAACATCAAGATCCTTGAGCAGTTCTCCCAGCTGAGTTCGACTACCCTTGGCTTCGATGATAATGAACGATCGTCTTCTTGTTCTGGTCAAGGTGCTTAGCTTCCTTGCTCGACTGTTCTTCAGTGACTTCAGTTGTGCTTCACTCTTCATTTCCAACTGTTCTGGATCCATTTTCAAAACTGCAATAAATACTTCTGATTCTCTGAAACTGTCACCACCGCTCACCGTTCATTATTCAGTCAAAGTCAAACTTCGTAAACGCGCTCTTGCCATTTGTTCGCTGTATTGCGTCGGATGTGGGTGGAATGGAAATTGAACAATCAAGGGTTGAAAATGGAGACGTGGAAAAGGAATATGAATGGCGCTGCTAGCGGTTTCTGAAACAGCAACAAGCACACACATGCAACATCCCGTTAGTTAGGCCAACCACGGCGACATGCACGGGTCAACAGCGCAAGACAATGTACACGCAGTGATAGAGACAAATGATGAAAGTTTGCGCATAAACAGAAGCAGGGCCAGATTACGATGCCATGAACTGTTGCAACGACACCAACACTGATAGAAACAGAACGAACGAGAATTACGCACCAGAAGTATTTGCCTCTGACGGTGGTGGTGAATAATTGCTGGCAGATAAGCAGCAGGCATTAGGTACATGCAATCAGGCCAGGCAACACACGTCCGTATCATGCGATTGCGTCACATGCTTGTGCCACACTGAAAGAAAAATAAAAAGGGTCACAAGGAGGTCACCACAATGATACACTTTGCGTTTTGCAATGTTATGACTTAAACAGAAGCAATAAATGGGGCTCTGGTATTAACTGGATAATTCGCCAGCTGACGCCGTATGGTGGCGCTAGTGGAGCAGCACCATATGACGTCAGCAGAAAACACCGTGAGCAGCTATGAAATGGGAACGAGCACCACGGAAATATCGAAAGGTGATGGACATGTACTGACTTTGGTCATTCAAGTACCACTAACACCATACAAAAACCATATAATATTATCAAGACTGATTCTGGAATCGATTTATTCGGGTATTTAAAACACACAAAAAATGTTTGTTACCGAATTCTGAAACAGTATAAGGATATTCTTGTTCCTTACTTTTGCCTTGTGGAGTACTTTTACTTGCTTTCTAGTGCGCCCATCACTATCTTGAAATCTGGATTGCAACGCTGTAGGAAAACTTTATTTCATTTGTCATTTCTTCCACTTTTGAGCAGTGATAATTTATTTGGGTTTATACATTCAATAATGAAGACGGCTCCTAACTTTTTAGGGATCTGCAGTGGCTCTGAGAGTAAAATCAGATATTTTCTAGAAACTTGAGGCCACTATTTTCTTATATGCTAGATAATATACAAATATTGACATGTAAAGAATGATACGGGTGTATAATTCTGCATAAATATCAATTCAAAGTATTTAAATTTTTCAAAAACCTTTTTAATTCTTCCATAATGACTTCTTTCAATACAAGCTGGAAGCAATTTCAATCAATAAAGCAGCACAAGGCAGTACATTGAGCTACAATGATCCATAACCAATCGGCACCTGCAATTTGATTGATCTTCGAGATGTACCCTGCCTGTTTCCTGACTTTCCCTTTTCGTTGTACTGGGTGAAGTGAATATTCTGTGAATATTCTTCTGACAGTCAGTTTTTAATCCTACATTATGTTGTCAATCAGATTTAATTGGTTCAAAAACCGTCGTAGTCCGTCTCATTCGCAGTCTACATCTCCACATGCGCACCCATACATGCTCAAAATTTTCACTACGTATGTACTATGTACCCTGCAGCGTATCCTGATGAAAAATGTTTTGTTGAAATCAGAGACACTTCCCAAGGTAGGCCATAGTACATGGCCATATATTTAAGTCAAAACAGATAAACAGATAAACACAATTCCAATCATCAAGTCAACCAGCATCGACAATCTGCACATAAGTTCTAAACCTATTGTAAGACTACTTTGTATTCAAACTTTGTATTGCAGAAGGGTGGAAGCTGCATGGAATTATGCGACAATTTCAGCGTGCATCCACGCTCGAAAGAGCAGGGTTAATTGTAACAATGTCAATACCATAATAACGTAATTGTAGGTGTTGTGATTCGGTTGTCTCTTGTCTGTGCTGGCCATTGCGCGGGCGGTCCAGCGGCGGAACTCGGCTTCGCCGCCGTGGCGCGCTGGCAGTTGCTTCTTCTTCTTCTTCTGCATCCCATTGCCAACCCGCTCAGGGGGGCGGCGGCGCAGGCGGGTCGAGCGGCGGCTCGGTCCGCCCAACATCCTCGATGAAGGTGACGACCTTCGTCGCCGGGCCGCCGAGGACGTCGACCAGGCGAGGGTCGACACCCCAGCGGCGGCGGCGGGCCGCCTCATAGGCCGGACAATCGGTCAGTAGGTGCGCCGCGCGGTCGGGCTCCCCGCACGCGGGGCATTCGTCGTCGGCTTCCGGGCCAATCTTGTGGAGCGTGTCACGGGTCAGCGGTGATGTGCCGGTCCTCAGCTGGGACAGCGTCACCGACCCCAGCGCGCCAGGGAGTCGTGGCCAGGCGTGGGGTCCGGGTGCGGGTGGGCAGCGGTTGCCCTCTGTCGCGACAGCTCCCGGACATGGCGCGTGACGGCGGCCCGCGCACTCGACAGGTCGATCGGTGCGCTGTCTTGGTCGCCCGCCGTGGCCTCGCCAGCCAGGAGGTCGGCGGTTTCGTTGCCGTCCAGCCCGGCATGGCCTGGCACCCACTGGAGCACCGTCTCGGTGCCGTTCTCGGTGAGGGTGCTCAGCACTCAGCAGCCTCCACACCTCGGCGGCCAGGGCCATGGTCTGGTTAGCTGGGCCGCGGCCAAGTAGTTGGAGCCCAGACCTTGAGTCGGTGAGGAGGCGGACCGACTTGGTCGATGCCAACTCCCCGTCCTCCAGGCCGGCCACAGCCGCGAACGCCTCGCGCATGGCGGTCAGTTCTGCTCTTAGGCTGGAGCAGACCGCCCCTGCAGGAGCGCGCACGGTCTCTTCTCTGTTGAGGTGGTGGAACTGGATCAGCGCCTGCGCCGCCCTGTTCCGTCCGCCGCGAGCCGAGCCGTCCGACCAGATAGTGACGTCCGGGTGCGGGAGCTCTGCAATGGCTCGCAGGGCAGCTTCCCTGCGGACTGCAGGCGGGTCCGACCGGCGGGTGGCCACGGGCAGGTCCACCCTGAAGGTGATGCCGCTGCGGTGGCCCAGCCATGGCGGGTCGCAGCTGTAGAACGCCGAACCTGTAACACAATAGAATTGCAATTGTAACAAAGACCTGCATGGTCAGCACACATCTGTCATCTGCAGTGACTGTCATCCCAAGTTGGTATGAATTGGCACAAAGTTGGGTCATGGTAGCACTAGCAGACGTAGCACAAGCTGTTGTGATATGCCATACCGTAGGACTAGGTCGTAGGTTGTAAATTTTAGGTTTAAGGCTGTAGGTTGTAGGTCAGGTTAGGTAAGGTTTGGTTAGAAAGACCCATTCTCGTGCATCGGGCAGCTTGTGCTACATCTACCTTACCAATACCCAATTTGGATTCCCAAAATTGATGGCAAACAGGCTTTTTGTATAACAAGTGTGGTTAATTGTTCTAATCCCCGCTGCAATGTGAGGGTAACTGCTTTTCTACAATCACAAAATTTGAATTCATATAGGTAGGTGTTTACATGTTCAGAAAATGATACAAAATATGACACGATTATAGCTGCAACTGGATAATGGATACCAACCTCAACTAAAAGTTTCTGCAGCCTTATAACCTAACAAATGACTAAATTGCCAAAATAAATCCCTTAGTACAATAGCTTGACTCTAAAAAATAACAGAAATTTTGCATGCAGACCCTCTGAAATGGAGGGTTTATGAAAAGTAACAAAAATAAACATTCACCAATATCAATATGTTGTTATAAATTTCATATGTAGCATAAGCGCCAATACTGCCTTCATTTACAATGTTGCTACTGTTTTCCACTCACAAACGCTGCCCTCCGTGGACAGCAGCAGCAGCAGTGAAACGTCACCCGTGGTGTGACATCATCACCCATGACGTAATGGAAATCCAGTTGTTACCAAGGCCCATATCAATATGTTGTTATAAATTTCATATGTAGCATAAGCGCCAATACTGCCTTCATTTACAATGTTGCTACTGTTTTCCACTCACAAACGCTGCCCTCCGTGGACAGCAGCAGCAGCAGTGAAACGTCACCCGTGGTGTGACATCATCACCCATGACGTAATGGAAATCCAGTTGTTACCAAGGCCCAATAAATGTTACAAGCGTATTATTTATGATGTTTTAGGCAGCAATCGTGTAATAACATCCTTGAATTATATACATTCTGCTTAAAAGAGGTCACGTGATGTTACCAGATTGTGCTCGGACAGCATTTTCTTAAACTTCGATTTTGAGTACTTTTTACCTTCATTGAGTCCTAATAACGGACGTTTTTAGTTATAAAATGAAGCAATGAATCTATTGAGGGCAAAATTTAATCATTTTTGCACTTTCAAGCCGGGCTATCCTGGCATGAACTTCGGCCGGTTTGTGTGTGAAGCCTATGGTGAAGGGAAAACTTCACGCCCGGCTGACGTCACAGACCTCGGCTACCAAATCGTGTCCGGTGGGGGTCGCCCCCCACTACCCCCTACACTAAAATAATGTGTAAGTTTGATTGAAAAAAAAACTGTATGGCAATGGCATGCCCATTACCTAGGGCCTAAGCTGGAAAGTGATTTATAATGATATTTACAATTGATTGGTCAATGTTTTTTTTCAGGTCACAATAGCATCACCATAATCTGAAAATCAGCTCAGCACATCATGAGTTCTGCATTCAGACTGCAGCAGTATTTGAATGACCTTTTAAAAAATGCAGGGTAAGTATAATTTATTCATTTGTCTTCTGTTTGGAGCTGAAGTGCCCTGGTTATAAGATGTTGTCTTCGAAGTTCCTCTTTCATAGCTACTATACCATTTGTATAAATCCATTTGTGGTTTTGGTCATGCATTCAGAAATAAGCACAGCAGCGGCCACTTCATACATTATTGTGTCTTTGTGGTAAACAAAGCTGGTCTTGCTGCTTGTCATTTTTTATTTATGTTAACAAAAAAATTATTAAACATATCCTTTAACCCTTCATCCTTAAAGGGACCCTCCCACCTTCAAAAAAGTTAATGAATTGGCATGAAAGTGATGTCGCTCGGTTCAGAAAGAGCAAAAATGAATATCTACCAAATTTCATCGAAAAATATTCACCGGTTTTCAAGATATTAGACTTTTACTTTTGTTTACTTTTTGGGATCTCCGCTGTTCCTAGCGACTTTATTTGAAGGTGCGGCATTTGTTGCGCGCAAAGCAGCATATACCACCGCGTGCTGCCAAACGTTTTAGTAAAAGATTTAAAAATCGTTAGATCTCCGCTGACGTCACAAATTCTAAGGGGGCATACCAATGCATTAGCCCCTTAGAATCCGAAAACTGCAAGTTTGAAATTCCATATCTCCGAATTAAAGCATTTTTCGATGTTGTGAATGCCCAAACCGGTATTTTCAGGCCATGGCCACCAATTTGGCTATCTCAACTCAAAACTAATGTTAAGGTGGGAGGGTCCCTTTAACCCGCGCCCTGGTGGGGTCTGTTTATAACACGACCTGGTGGGGGGGGCTATTTTTTGCCCCCCCCCCCCTCGTATCTCCGAAACTACTGGACGGATCCGCAAAATTCAAACGGCGTTCGAAAGGCCTGTCAAATTTGTCGAAAGAAACCAAATTTCATTGACCTCGGAGTCACTGATGACGTCACAGGTCAGGTCAAAGATGAACTGTTTCACCGTTCACGGGCCTTCTAGGGAATGCGCTATAACACCGAGGAAAACGCATTTTGTCGAGAATCAGCGATAGGGCGTCAGTTGCCTAGTAGATATGTTGCTATTAGAGGTCACTAGTGACAATACCAGGTCAGGTCTGAGGTCACAGGTCAGGTCACCAAGGGTCACAGGTCAGGTCACATTAGCCCAACTTTACTAAGGTTGTGTGATGCATGTTTTATGGCCAATTTTTCATTTCCAACTCAATGGTGTTGGTTATAAGACTATCAGGTACGGCTTAGGTCACTTTCTGGTGAAGTTCAGGTCAAGGTCAGGTCAAGGTCAGGCCAAAAAAGGTCAAATTTTAAAGTTGATAGTTTTGCATAAAATGGGTATTGATTCGATGCAGCTCGTCACGAGGAGTCTAATGGTGGTCTTTGTTTTGCGCTACAGGGTCTAGAATTGCTAAAAATTGAGTTTGAAAATTTGACGTCATCAATTTTGAACAGTTTTTTTTCGCTGTAACTTCGCCAAAAAAAGAGGCATCAATCTCAAATTTGGTATGTGGATGGAAGGCGGTAAGGACTATCACATATATTCCGGTTTTTGCGAAATTCAAAAAACTTTTTGGATTTTTGATTATTATATCCAATTTTTATTTTTGGGGGTCAAAATCCAAAAATTTCACAAATCCGAGATAGCAGTTTTGTAGCCCTGTCGATTCTACAGCTTTTATGTCTTTATCATTTTTCTGTATTTGAAAAAAGCTATAGGGCTGACAGCTCTTCCCGCGAAACCCTTTTTTGGGTCGAAAACGGCAGAACATGACGTCACTCTGACGTCATTTCCGGCCAACCTATCATAGCCTTTGGAAAATATTTTGGTCACAATGTGTAAAATTGATGTCCGGGAGGGTACTGAAAGTTTGGTGACGATGGGCGCAGCGGTTCTGGAGATATATCGAAAAGTCTGTAGGGGGGGGGGGCAAAAAATAGCCCCCCCCCACCAGGTCGCGGGTTAACCTTCGCCGGCACAGGCCATTTTGAGTCTTTGATGGCACAAGGGGGGGGGGGGGTGTTACAACCCCCCCCCTCGCGTTTGGTCCCTGATGGAGCTAGAGCTTCGCGGAAAAAAACAAGCGTGTTGCCTGTCACGAGAGGAAGCCGATGATATCCAATTTTAAGGTCCTAGGTCATCGGGTGACCTTCCAGGTCAGGTCAATGACCCGAAAATCGGGAAAATCGGGACCTGTTAGAAAGGTGTAAAGTGTGGCTGCTATGAGGTTTTTCGGGGTGCTGATCACGAATATCGTGTTAGTTTTGATCAGAGATGATGTCTTTAAGCATTTAGACCAGGTCGGGTCAGGTCAGGTCAGGTCAACCGGTAGGGGTCGTGACGGGTATTCGTAATACGTGTCAACCGCCTCTAACAGCTTCGTAACATGTTACGAAGGCACCAAAACTACTTTGTAAATGTTCAAATGGTTGCTAAATTCGAAATCAGCTCCAAAAACTAGCCTGGAAACATGTAAAACTCGAAAAAGTGAACCGAGGTAACAAAAGGTCAATGACCTGAGCTGACCTTCAGGTGACCTTGACACCCACCCTAATGCATGGGAGCAGCATCAAATCACATGTTTGAACGTTTGAAACCACGAAAAGCTTGCAAACGCGCGGCTAATGCGAGCCGACATACGCCGAATCGCGATTCCGGCCAAACATGGTCTCAGAAAAGAGGTCACAGGTCAAAGGTCATTTGGGTTAGGGTCATGGAATTTTAAGGTAGGTGTAAAATTGATCAATGCGAGGGTACTGAAAGTTTCGTCGCGATCGGCCGCATTTTACGCGAGTTATTCGCGAAAAACCTTAGGGGGGGGGGGTTGCATCAACCCCCCCCCCCCCTGTGTCGGCGAGGGTTAACCTAAGAAGTCCATTGCACACCAATATCTGCTGCTTTTCCCAGTTTTTATCTTTTCCAAATAATATTCATTAAGTTTTCTTTTGAAATATTTATCTGGTCTAACGACTTGTGTCACTTTTCCTTTCAATTTCCCTTGTGTCAGCCACTGAACAACATGGGTTGCCCATGCAAGCACTGAATCACAATTGTGATGGTTTCCTTAGGCTACCAGACTGCAGCTAAATTATAACCTCCTCACCCATAGGTATACCACCCACTGATCAGCCCAGGCTGTCACCATATGCATGTCGGGTGGACCATGCGTGTGCTAGCTGCCTCAATGTCAACGTCACCTGCATTCAGTCCACTTCCAATACCCCGGCAGGCACGAGCGGATCACGCAGGAGCAGCTGTCGGCGCTGGTTGCGGCCGCCGCCGAGAAGCCGGCCGTCTCCCAGACCCAAGTGCACCGCGCCATCAAACACCTCTCTCACGGCAACGCCGACACTCAGCTGATCCGCAGGAAATACGAGGACATCAAGAAAAAGGACCTGTGAGTGGCGATGGTGCCGGGCTCAAACCTCGTATTTAATGCCGTGTATTTCAGATTTATCGATCTTTTATATGTCATCGATGATTTTGGAAGATTGGACATTGCTAAATATTGCTTATAAGCGCAGTTATGTTGGCATCCATCTCCAGTGAGTAGTGACTTTTGTCCACTGTTCCCTATCTGGGCTGTTTGTGCACTTTCCCTCTATACCACTCTGACACGTTTATTCGCAGCTGCCCGCACCTGGACCGTGTGCTGGTTCTCCTCTCCCGGCGCACGGCCGGAGACAGCTGGGTGACGGGCACCTCCTCGTCCTCGGCTGCTCCGCCCTCGACCGACGCGCCCACCCCGGCCCCGGCAGCCGCCCCGGCTCCGGCTCCTGCCGTCCCGGAGACCCGCAGCAGGAGCCAGGTGGACCAGCTGGCTGTCTCGGAGGTAAGGAGGCGATGGATGGATGGGAGGAGGGGCAGGGTGGAGTGGTACGGGGAGGGGACTGGTAAGCGGTGCCACCCGCCCGGCTCCACTTTTGTGTCGTTTGATTGGTGTTTGATTGGTGTCTCACGGTACCAACAAGGTTACCATCAATTTCTGGCGTATTTCGTCTCCGACTCTGACCGTCTTATCGCCGTGCTATCTCTCATCCCCCTCTCCCCTCCTCTCACCAGCTGAGGGAGGCGCTGAAGCGGGAGGTGGGCTCGCCGCAGCCGACGGTGGCGGCAGCGGCGACCCTCTCTGCTCGTCTGCAGCAGCAGCAGGGCGGCGCGCCGCGCCAGTCGTCTCCGTACCCGGTACCGGACTGGCTGGCCGAGCGACCCTACATGACCCGCGGACTGGTCACCGCCGGGCCGCCGGCCGACCGGCTGGCGCCCGCGCTGGCGCCGCTCGGTGGGTATTGGGGAGAAATGACAGTGAGGGGTCAGTGGGAGCGGTAGGGGTACAATGAATGCTGTATGCAGCTGTTGAAAGGGAAGTATCATTTATTTGTGTTTTTTTTTCTTCTTTTTTGAAGGTTTACAAATCGCTGGTTATCTTTTGCGATATTTTATCACTGGCATTTTATTCAATTAAAAAATGGCTAATGTTCCGTTTATGTTGAACATACCTCCCTTATTCGCGTGCCCGATCATGCATCCTAGTCGATCAGTTACTGGGCGTCCTGCCACATCTAACGTTATAATAATTCTTCAGTTAATTATTGTCTCTCCTTCCTTCAGGCGACTTACCGATCGCCACCCAGGAGGCCACCGTGATCGAGGACGTGCTGTTCTGTCTGTCCGGTGTGGACGGAGAGTACATCAGCGTGTCGCAGGGCGACTGCAGGATCGACGGCACCATCGGTACGAGCAGCCGCAGCGGTACTAAATGGTGGGGTGGAGCGGTTTTGATGGCTCCATCGGTACGGGCAGCCGCAACGGTACTAAATGTGATGGGATGCAGTGGTACTGACGGCACCATCGGCTACGGCCGGGATAAAGGCTGTATCCAGCTGTTTTTGAGCCGTTCATTTCTATTTACTGTATATGTTTGCTTTCTTCCTGCAATTCTTTTTGTCAGCTATTTATGTAAAAAGTTCTTAGAGGCTACCAGTGTCGCTCCCCTCTCATCTAACCTATTAGTAAAGTAATCTTGATCTAACCCTCTCGCTCTTTCTCCGCCCTTAGACCCGGCGTTGCAGGAGACGGTGCGCCAGATCAGCCCGCTTTTCGCGCACTTTGCCACGGTGATGGCGTTCGCCGAGGAGTCTACGTTTGTTCCCGGACAGGTGGTCCAGGCGCTGGGTGCCGCGCTGCGCAGCCACGTCAAAAACTACCTGGTACGTGCACGACGCGGTGACTTGGTGGGACGATCGAGTGTAGAGAGTTGAACAAATAATAGGGGCGCTTTCAGGGTGTGAATCGGCATGTTGAGTAAACTATTGTTTGGTCTCGTGGATCCAGGATCGATCTTATCGTTCATCCGCGCGGCTTACCATGGGCTGTGCGAGAGTTACACTTGCACTTTCTATAAATGTTTCAATACAGTCAAATTTGTAGACGCAGGCAGCTGCTCAGCCCCCTGTCCCCGCCTGTCCCTCCCCAGCTGCTGACACCCCTCCCCGTGTCCTTCCCAGGTGCTGATAGCGCAGCTGGAGACACAGCACCGCGCCGGTGAGCTGACGATGCAGCGTCTCTGGTTCTACCTGCAGCCCAGCCTGCGAACCATGGAGATACTGGCCGACGTGGCCGACACCGTGTTTCAGGTAGGTGCTGGCCAGGGAATGGATGGGGAGTTGACTGGTCTGTGACATCAGGGTAGTTCTAACTTGGATGGTCTCGTTAGCAATCACTGGCATCGTCTGACTGGGGTAGTTATTGTCGTGCTAGCTTTGCATTGGATAAATACGCCTTTATTTAGCTAATCGCCGAAGTTTTCATGCATATCATATTCATGTCGTGTGTTGATAGGATACGTCTTGATTCTATCCTTTGGCATATTCTAACGTCAACGTGCGCATTCCGATCGAAGCCAGTGTCGATTTTGAAGTTGTCCCTAAAGCTTATTTTAGCTGACGTCCCCCTCTTCTCTATCTGGCAGCACGGACTGCAGAGTGGCCAGATTCTCAGCCTGCTACACGACCGTTGTCTGACGGGCGACGAGCGAACCCAGCAGCTCTGCCTGCACCTGGTACAGGCCGCCGCCGTGCCCTACATGAGGATCCTCGAGAGCTGGATCTACAAGGGGTCCATATCAGACCCTTATCGAGAGGTGAGGTCGACTGGTGTGACAGCAGAGGGTGACTCAGAAAGTGGGAAAGGGAGGATGAACGGAAGACTTCGTTTGACTTAATGGTATGCTTCGCTTAACCTCTGTCTCTATTACGATTTTCGCACATAGATGGGTGGGGCATGATATGGGTGCTGACTGCTGAACTCTGCGGCTGTAGGTATCCGTTGGCCGTGATCAAATTCTGCAGCTGTGGAGTGTGGAGTGCTAACACCTCAATATCCCCTGTCGCCAGTTTCTGGTCGAAGATAACGAGGTCTCTGGTCGGGAGCGACTCAACATTGACTACAGCGATGACTACTGGGAGAAGCGGTACACGATCGCACCGCACAAGATCCCCACCTTCCTGGCCAAGGTGGCCGACAAGCTGCTGCGCACCGGCAAATACCTCAACGTCATCAGACAGTGCGGTGAGCGGCCAATGCTCGACATCGGATAAAATTGCTGCCTAAATACGGCTACAATTTTCTTGTGGATCGTGATGTAATAATTAGGCTCTCTTTATGTGTGCCATTGACTGAGCAAGTTTAGCTATAAACATTGTTCTTTTTTTGTATCTAACTTTTTATGCTTCTTCCGCTGGCGACCAACCCGGACTAGGACAAACAGGGCTAACACCACCCTGGCCTCCCCTCGCCTGACTTTATATAGATATACTCGCCCAGACTCTGATATGCATGTGCCGTTCCCTCCAGACGAGAACCTACGCTGTCCGGAGGCGCCCACCCTGACCTGACCTGACCTGCCTGTGTCGCTGTCGCTCCAGACGAGAACCTACGGTGCCCGGAGGCGCCCACGCTGGTGTACTCTCCACGCGAGCGGCACTACGTGGACGCTATCGACCGCGCCTACGCCTACTCGAGCAAGACCCTGCTGCGGCTGCTTATGGATGCCAAGGACCTCATGGGACGCCTCCGGTGAGACGTTGGGCGGCGATGGAAGAGTCAAATTACAAATAGCGTGTGCAGCTGATATCGAAGCGCTTTGTACATAACTGGCTCACCAGTTATGTTAAATTGATTTGACGGTATTTGCTGTCATTATGATCGTCATCTGCTCGTTCATATTTATATTTTGATCGGCTCGATACTTGGTTGTGTGAAGTACAGACATGAAAATTGACTAGGGATTCGGTCTTTGTCGGATAGTTGCGTGAAAGATTCATCAGTCTGCTCGTCTCAATCTGAGCGTTGGCGCACCATCTGCTCTGACCAACCCCCAGTCTGACGCCTTGCCCATTCTCCGTGTCAGGTCGGTGAAGCACTACTACCTGATGGACCAGGGCGACTTCATTGTGCAGTTCATGGACCTGTGTGAGCCTGAGCTGCAGAAGAACATCAGCGACATCTTACCCACCAAGCTGGAGAACCTGCTGGGTGAGACGACGTCACGACCAATGATGCTGAGCAGATATTAACTTGGCATCTGAGGGCAGCAATGGAAGGTCACTGAGCAGGCTGGGTCAACTCAGAGCAGCCTGTGGTGACTAAGTCTTACTTAACGCTTGTTTACAATATTTGTTTGTGTCGTAGGTGTTCGATTTTCCCCCGTAGCATATGAAAATTATGAGATGCTCCAGTTTGCATTCACTTGAGAATTATGAGATAAACGTCCTTAAATCCGTTAGTGTCCGTCGGCAATATAGATAGTCCGTCATGTACCAATTAGGTATATGCCGTTAGCTATTTCCATGTTTCCCTGCTCGGCCGTCGATCAGGCTCGCTGCCCCGCCTTCACCGACCCCACAGGCAGGGTTGTATACCAATCAAGTCGATTGAATTGATTGATTTGATTCAACGCGTATTTTGAGTTGATTGGATTGAGTCGATTGACTTTTCGAGATGACTGGCTGACTGACTCGTTTGACTTTAGCGACTGGTTGACTGATTTGATTCCCGAAAATTAGAGTGACTCGTATGATTGAGTCGATTGAATGGAAAGTTGAAATAAGTTTTAGTTGACGAAAAATAATGACACCAATTGATGACATCAAAGATCACAAAACTACACTGAAAACTGCTTGTCATCACAACTGCAATATGGGGTAGATGGCCAAATAAAGAACAGGGCCTAAACATGAACAGCCAACTTTGACTTTCAACTGCAATAACTGCTCCAATCCTGTGATAGAACCTGGCGATGCACCTACCTACCTTTCTGCACTCAGCAGGAAACTTTTTTTTAATCCAGATGATAAAGTGCAAGGCCCTATATACTAAAAAAGTGTGATTAATTACTAATTCACATCTCCACATCTCCTCAGAAACAACCAAGAAACAACCCACTGAACTCTATAAATATCTGAAACCCCTACAAAAATAACTGAAACAAAAGCGCCGTTTTCGTCTCGCTAATTACGTTTACATTAAAAGCTAATTTGCTGCATTGTTTAATTTGCAGCAGAACGTTTGTTGATCCTTTTCCCCTGAGAGCCTAGGCATAACATATTGAATATATTTTATTTTCCTTAAAATATTTTACCGAATATTATTAAGTGGTTTTATTTCAAATGAAATAATAATTAAAACGAAATTGGTGTTGTACAACCGATTTATTTTATGATGATCTACCATACTACATGATAATCAATGACGTCATCTTACCAAAAAATCAAAAGACGTAGAATAAGGATTTATAAAAGCTTAGCATACTTCTTGGCGAAACGTTTTCTTTGTTTTTTTTTCGCAGTCGCACCAACGGCATTTAAAGGTAGTGTGCCACCTTTGAAAGATTTCCCGTTTTATTTTTCCTAGGATAAGAAGCTTCTGTTTTTACCTAATATCGCAAAAAAAAATCAAAAATGGGCCTGGAATAGTGCCTTTTTCGCCTAAAAGTTTATCGGTTTTTAGATATGTATAACAACTGTAGTGGGCTCACCTGCAAACAGGCGTCGGGCAACAATCGCGAATGCGGCGCACTTGTGACAATAAGCAAAGGTCATTATAGTGTTACGACCATACGACGTACGGGAATGAGTTATCAGCTGTCTAATCGTAGACAACACAATGTCGAGCCTTAAACTGTAAGCCTGTATTGGTATTGTTTCTTAAATTTGGCTGTCGAACATTAATTTGTGGTTTGAAATATGATTTTATGTAAAATAATTGATATGAAACAGCCGTCTCTTAAGTTATGACCCCATTACACCACACGCAAGTGGCAGAAATGACAATGATCAGCTGACGCATTTTTCTTGGCCGAAGTCAGAGCGCGCGGCCCGACGCACCACGCGTATTTGGAAATTCCGACCTCGACGAGCATCAGAAGCCACCTAACAGGCGTGTTCGAAACCGCAGGAGATGATGATGAACGGGTTTATCGAAACTTGATTGGATGAGCCTATCGGTAATAGCGATTTTAGTGTGTGCATTTATTGTTCATAGTGGTGTGAAATGTGGTTGGGGTACGACCGACAACCCGTCGGGGCGAATTTCGCACTGGGGTACTCAAAATTTGAAGAATTTAAGACGTTTCCATAAGTTTTGAAGGTATGGATAAGTTCTAAAAATCCGGTTCTCCTTATCCGGGTCATTAACTCCATATGGTCCAGGAAAGCTGGCACACTACCTTTAATTTTAGTCCACCCCACTTTGTCTTCTTTTATGCAGTCCATTCGCACATACACACCACACCTTGTTCTTCTTCCTTTGTCCTTAACTTATCCTGTGGTTCCAGAGTCCCTGTCCTTTCCATTTCCTTTTAAATATATTTTAATGCTCATCCCTATCCCCCAGTCCTAAAACCATAACAGTTTCAAATTGTATTGCAATAAAATGTTTTGAATTCTTCACATATAACCTATCTACCTTCGTTGGTACAGTTGGTAGCCAGTGACACATCTAGGCAGGTAAGTAGGTACCTACCTGCTTTCCTGCTGTCTTCATAAAGCATACCTAATGAAGTTGTCAAATTTGTAGCACATTTTCAACACTTTCATATCAATATCAGTATGGTGTCAGTGTGGCATGTAACCTAGCTAGGTTCATTATGTTCAGGGTTCAATTCAGAAGAGCTCCGCATAACTCACATAAGAGACAGACGGGGGCTTTACATGGGGTAGATGGTCTGATGACTTAGCTGGAATATGGCCAAAATTAAATTGACAACTTTTAGGTGAAAGGTGGTGATTTGGGTTAAGGGGCGTTTGTTGAAGTCAACTACTGGGTTATTTTGCACCCATTAAATGAAACTTCTGCTCCAATTCTACCCATTGAACCTCAATATCATGATCCACCTGTCCATCACTAGGTATACTTCCTTATTACAAAGAAACTTTGAATGGCATGGCAATTTATAATTTTAAATGACAATATTTTGTTTCTTCTGTAGGTAGGTAGGTACAGGTAGGTAGGTACACCAGACTGCTATGGACACTTTTCCAAGTTGGTGGGGCAAAAAACCTAATGTATATCTTGGTTTGAGTCGTTTGATTGAGTTGATTGATTCCTTTCATTGTCGCGTTTGAGTCGATTGAATCAATTCCCGAATACTGCTCTGACTTGATTGATTTGATTGGTTTCCCAAATTTGTCGTGATTGAATTGATTGCTATTGATTGAGTCGTATACAACCCTGCCCACAGGATCCTCCCGGTAACCCGGCCCCTGCCCTTCCCCCAGACCTGGCACTGCGCACCTCGGCCGCCAAGAGTGACCCGTACAAGGACGACCTGAGACCCGAGCTGCTCGGTTACGACCTCAACACACAAATGATGAAGATACACTCCATCGAGACGTATGAGGAGAAAGGTGAGGCAGTAGTCGGAAGGGGCGTCTCATGTAGTCTTATTGAGAGGTCAGGCCGGAAGTGAAAGCTGTGTGACGGTGAAGACTATGAATGTTATTGTGCTTGAGTTTAAGATTAGTGACCTAAAATCACAAATCGTTTCAAAGTTTGGCGACATAGATACACCGTGTGGTTGTAGCACGGAGATGTCATCATTTCTATCTGGGTTCTGGTGAACACTTTTTTGGCGATACCCACTTGCTGTGCCTGTGCTCTCTCCAACGCAAAATGTTCGCCATCCGACAGCGACTGATCTGATCGCTTCCCTACGCTCTCCCTCAGACCACTAACTTTGACTGTGTTCTCCACCCCACAGAGCACTGGGCTCCGGCCGAGCACCTGGCCATCAGCGGCCTGCAGGCGTTTACGTTCGGCAGCGCCGTCACCTGGCCCGTCTCTCTGGTGCTGAACCGGAAGGCGCTGGCCTGCTACCAGATGATGTTCAGACACCTGTTCTACTGCAAACACGTCGAGAGGCAGCTCTGCCAGTGAGTAGCTGCGTTCTGCGGGAAGGGAAGGGGAATCTTTTTTAGATTCAGGGAGATATGTTGATGGCTTTTCGCGGATGTGATTTAATCATAGCCGTTTCAAAGGAAGTTCAAATGCGAAATTTGTGCTAATTAATGACAGTGTGTACGAGCTTAGCCATTGGTGATTCTTTGTACTCGATTGGCTCCTTACATGCTGCTCGCTAGCTTTTTCTGACACTGTATTTGTTAACGATGTCGTCACATCCGCTGCCTTTCAAACTCCCACTACCGATGGCCACTGACCGCCCCGCCTCCACCACTCCTCGCAGACTGTGGGTGTCGAACAAGGTGGTGAAGCAGTTTGCTGACGGCGGTGACCGCGGCTATGCGCCGGCGTTCGCGCTGCGCCAGCGGATGCTGACCTCGGTGCAGAACCTGCTCTACTACATGACCAGTGAGGTGGTCGAGCCCAGCTGGCAAAACTTCATCGCCAAAATGCAGCAGGTCAGTCAAAGGAAGTTGAGAGTGCTAGCGAGGGGTGATGATTTAGTTTGTTTTCGTTTGGGGGGGGGGGGGGTGATGTATATTTCCCTTGGGCTTCGAATATGATGAATTATGCAGAGGAGTCGACAATTATACGAAGAGGGTCGAATCACCGCTGAGCGCCCACCTAATTTTTTCGTCATCTTGTCCCCTCACTCGGACCACCCCACCCTCTGATGGACCAATATATCCTCTTTACGGAGGCCCCTCCCTTCGCCTATCCAACTGCCCTAGTCGACCTCTGACCCGACCTCTCCCTGCGCCCGGTCAGGTCACAAACGTGGACGAGGTGCTGCAGCTGCACAACGACCTGCTGAACGGCTGTATGCGCGACTGCATGCTGACGCGTCCGGAGCTGCTGCGCACCGTCAGCCGCCTGCTGACCGTCTGCGTCACCTTCGTCAGCTTCCTGCAGGTGAGGACTGAGACCCTGGGAAGGACGGACGGACTGTTCGTCAGGTTTGTGTTCTAGGTGCCGTACATATCCGGCTGTGAATGTTGGGATGGTGAGCTATGGTGTCAATGAAGAGGTTGAATGAGTGAGTTTTACGTTGGCCTCAATATAAGGCTAACTTGTCTTCGGATGTGCTTCTCTTCTTATGATCTCTATTGGCTGGCTGGTGCTTTTTGTGGTGGCCTCATCATTTTATTTGCATACCCGTTGAGTCACTGTCCAGGCTGTCCGCTTTCCAATATTTGTGTGAAGGCATGATGTATCCGTTCGCTGGCGCTGCTGTATAATACGCCACACTGCGTGACGTCCGTGTGACATGACGTGACGTGACGTGGTGACATGACACGTCAGAACGCTCGACGGCATTACGTGGACGCCGAGCTGAGTTGTATGCTGTCGGAGGCCGGTGGGGCGCGGGCCTCCTCCGTCGAGCCGTCCGGTCTGACTCAGCGCGCGGTGAGTGGGCCGCTGTGAGCTGATCGGTCTGACGCCCTGTCTGCGGGAACGAGACACCCGGAGGAGCGGCGAAGGGCTCACACCGCCGCCCCTGACCGGCCTAGGGCCTAGGCTGACTGACATAGCGGCGAGATGGACTGCGGTGTGCTCTTTCGTATACTGTGGCCGGTTGTTGAGCATGCGATCAGTTTTATGATTTGATCCAGGCCTGGCGTGCTTTACCTCCTTTTTATGGTGAACTCGGCGAGTAATCTGTTTGCTGTGATCTGGGGTTTGCGAGGTGTGACGCGCGTTTCCAGGCTGATGAGCGATGAGCGGAATGTGTGCCGCTGTGATGCTGAATAGAAGAGTCCCGTTTGAGCCCTGTAGTCGCCCGGAATGTTGACATGATGACCTTATGTGTGCTGACCTTAATGAGTTGAAGAGTTTCAGGCGGCCTTAGCCCTAGCATACTAAGCAATCTTAGCGTGTATCTCAGTATACTCTTCGACAGCTCAGCGGATGGCGTTGGCTCCGAAAAAAAAAAATGTTTCTACCTCCACCTGAGATTTGAAGCTTGGTTCCTCATGCAGTAGCAATTACTTTCAGGCTCTTAATCATGGCTCACACTGTGAAAATATTGCAGGGAAGATCACATTTTTCACTTTTCACAGAAATTCACTGTTCTTTTCCTCGTTTCATCTGACCCTGTAGCGTTCTGCCGTTCGTTTTCCAGTCGCCGGAGCCGGAGGAGGCCTCGGACAGCGTCACTTTCGCCGCCTCAGTGGCCGAAATGGACGCGCAGTTCACCTCCGTCCTGCTGACCCTGCTGGACAATATCTCGGACTTCGGACGGGAGAACTACAACGCCAAACTCATCAGCATACTCTACAGGTACGGCGCTGATTCATAGGAGGGCTCAATGAACTGACATGGGAACGTAAGCTCTAGTAACGCGTTTGCCTTGGATTGTTTCACCAGGGTGTATGTTCGTCTTTGATAACCTGCTACAGCTCTTAGTTCGTGGAGCGTACATCCGAAGTTGTCATCTGTCGTTCCAGGCTGGATTTCAACGGTTTCTACACGGAGCAGCTGGAGCAGCGGGCCGGGGCGCGGTCTCACTCAGCGAGCTCGCAGAGCGGACTACTCTGAGCTGTCGGTATGCCTGTCTGCATGACGACAAGACAAAGGTCAGTTTTGGCGAGCCGCCGCAGTGACCTCTTACGTCAGTCCCAGTCAGGATGGTTAACACACAGAAACAGTTGGGATCATCCACATTCGAAAAGGTGGCGAGGGCAGCCTCCGGGCTAGATTGACACACTGACGCGCTCGTGGAACCTGCAAGTGTGACAGCCCGGTTAGCTGCGACTGTCGTCCTGCTGTACGCATTCCTCGTCGATCGAAGCTTGGTGAGCCGCTGGCCACGTGCGACCGACCCCCTTTGATAGTGTTCCTCGAAGAGGTCGACACGAAAACGAACGGTGTGGCCTCCTGAGATAGAGGATCTAACACGTACCGCAACAAACCCAAGGTACATGGGCTAGCCAAACGTGAGTTCATGTCATAGCGAGTTGACAGCTGTTCTTCCCAAAAACGCAATCTAAGCAGGCCTGCTTAGCAAGTGTTGTGAGCGCTTACAAAGTGTACAGTGAGTGGCGGACCGTCGCTGCTGATGCTGAGAATCGGTAGCTTTCATTCCGGGAGACAGCTCCCCACGGCTGTATGTTGAGACACCTAATGTTAACTTGTTAATGCTTGTGTAACAAACTGACCTGGTTTCGTGCTGAAGGAGACTAGGACTCGTTGGCGCGGCTGTGGACGATTTCCAGTCAGTGTGAATGGTGGTTCAGCGAGAAACATGAATGTCATTTGTCCAATGTTTGCTAACGGTAATGTAACCTGTTTCATAAACGCGAACCGCTGTGCCTTCAGATACACAGTGCCAAGGCCACTGCGTTCGTTTATTATTGCGAAGAATCTGCATCGTCATCGCAGAACTAAACCTTATTTCAAGTGCCAGGCTGTGGGGTGCTCCAATGAGCGACGGTTTCGCCCTACGAGATCGTGAGGACTTTGATAGCGGAGTGATATGTGTATTTGGTTATTTATTCAAAAGAAGTGGGCATTACGACGGAAAGTGAGAAGGGAAAACAGATACAGCGGCGCATCTTTCGCACATTTCGTACAATAATACCGGTAACAGGCTACTGGTTCAGACTGGCCAAACCTGACATCACTCGAATGCATCGGCCGATGGAATATCACTGCAGGACGTAAAAATACTGATAGAAAACACTCGAACTCGACGGATAACACATTACTAAGCAAAGCATGCGAACGTAAAAGCATTAGCTATACGCTATTTCTTCGCTAATCCATGTGTCACTTCTTTAAACACCACTGGCGCTGAAACTGACTGCTCCATGAATTTGTCAAAACGACACATAGTCTTTGACGTGTGCTGTGCAAGTGCAGCAGAGACGATGGTGCCAGGTGCGACGTTTTCCTAAGTATCACATCCCTGCTTCGTTATTGTGCTGGCGATGGTCAGTGCCGGCTGTGCGCGGACTGTAGCGACGCCCAGTGGCTATTTGATGACGGTGACGTCCTCCTTGGAGGTGGAGCGGAACTTGCCGAGGTACGGCGAGTGTTTGAGGCCGAACGAGAACTGGGGCGGACGCCGCGCCACCGCCTGTAATAAACCGGATACCTTGTCAAACTCCTGAGAGGCCGACGCTCCCTAATGTCTCGATCAACAGACGATGACCATGTCAACGGCTGACTGCTTGAAATTCGTCTCAGTGCTCGGCCAGACTTATAATCAGAAGACAGTTTTGACTCCTAAGGTTCTTGGTCCTCTCAGTAGGACCGGCCCGTGGTCCCACAAGGGGTCCGTTATTGCGAGGGAGTTCGTTACTTTTGGAAAAGGTTGGATCAAGCTTTAGCTAATCTCGACTGTGAATGTTACATTCTGGCATGATATTCATCCCAGTTCCATCCTTCCCCAATCATTCCTTTCTAATCAATCATTTCCTTTCCATTTCTTCGTTGCCCTCTCTTCCTCACCGCGTCCTGCAGTGTGTAGGCGGCCGGGCCGGGTTTCTGACTGTGGTCGGACGGCGGCACGGTTCGCTGTCTCAGCGAGAAGGCTGGGCTGCGCGGCTGACAGGCCGACACCCGGCCCGAGTCGTACTGGCCGGGCGCGGGGAACGAGGCCCGCTCGTCGCTCCGGTCCCGGCCGCGCCCCTGGATTGTGTAGCGAGGCGCGTCTCCCAGTCGCTCCCGGACCGTGTAGGAGTTTGGCGCTGTCGAGGGAAGAGGGGAGGGGTGAGAGAGGACTGTCGCTGAGTTTCACTGGTTTGGTAGGCCATGGCGGGTACGGTACAGTGGAGGCGTTTTGGAATAAATACAGTAGTCAATGGAGACTCTCACTGCGTGCTTGATGGGTCAAGTGCGAGTTTAATTAGATCAAAGATCAAGTGCTGGAACCATGCCGCTCAGTTGAGGTATAAATGAGCTAGCTACTTGACCAATCAGAGGGCATTGGGATAATTTCATAATACAGCACAGCGCCTGACGTGTTCCGGATTTTCTCTGCGAAGTGCGAACAACGTCAATCCGATTACTCGCTGTCGCGACACGTTTAACTCCTCATATCCGATATGTTAACGTTAGACTGACACGTTGCCTATCGACCCTCCCCATCCCTCCTCCCTCTCAGGGGGACACCTCTCCCCCTAGCTTACAGGGACCGCCCTCCTCCCTCTCACAGTGAGGGTACGCCCCTCTCTCACCTGGGCGCACTGCTGGCCCGTTTGGCGTCCAGCCGCTGGCCGAAGGTGTACGCGCGGCGAGGCGGCCGCCAGAGCTCGCACGTCGACCGTGTACTCGCCGGGCGCCGGGGTGACCTCGGTCGACGGCCCGCCCGGCCGGCCATCGTGCGCGCCGGTGCCACGTCCCTGCCTGAGGAAGAGAGGGCTAGTTACATGAGAGTCATGGATAGGCGGTAGACAAGATGGTAAGCCACGCTGCATTGCACTACGTTGGTGGATCACTGAGCCCGCTTTGTTTTCTTTTGTCGAAAGAAAATCTTTGGTAGGCATGTTTTAATTCCTTGGGAGCCGGGTCGTACTTTTGTTGTGTCGTACCTTTATTGGTCATCTGCCGGGTGTCGTACCTTTATTGGTCATCTGCCGGGTGTCGTACCTTTATTGGTCATCTGCCGGGTGTTGTACTCGTTGGGAGCCGGGCTCGGCTGCAGACTTCTAATGTCGTGTCGGCCAGCCATGGTGAAGGCAGGAGACTCGCGGCCTCGCCATGTCCCGCTGAAACACAGGTCAGCCCCGTCAACCGCTTCCAATTTAGGAGAGTGGAAACAAAACATGATCTACGAATAAAGCTAAAATGCAATAGCATAGTACGTACGGGGACTTTCAACTGCAGACTAGCATATACGGGTGTGAAAGGCGTACATTTGTTGAAATATTCCTGTTTTGTCTTTACTTACCAGTATGTAGGCCATTAGCGAGGGTAGCAATGAGAGCGTAGAACGGATGGAGAAAAAGTATCGTGTTAGTTTTAATGCCGCGGATGGATAGAAACGAAAGGCACACAATTTCTATTCAAGGGTTTACCCCTGCGCCACAATTAATTATGACAGTCTTTCCCTCCTCCCTTCGCACCAGTGCATCGTCCGTCATTCAATGGCTTATGTGCCTACCGCCGAGGCCAGTGGTATCCACTACGTGTATTATCAATCTAGGTCAGCATTATCCATGGAAGTAAAATGATACGACGTGGTACAAAGGTCTCTGCTAGGCTACAAGATAAGGACATACAGAGAGTAACGAGAGTTTGAGAAAAGCCGTATCAAATGAGACCGCTACCTCCTGCTGTAAACGCGTACAGGATCGACGCTGGTAGGTCGGCGCGGCCGGACCCATGTCCGCCGATGTCTGGGATCTATCCATACCTATGGAGGACGGTAGGCTGGTGCAGCCGGGGCCCGGGGTCTGAAACTCGGCGGCGATCGGGCCCCTCCGCTGGGTGGGCGTCCAGGCTCCGTTACGAACCATCGCATCTGTCACCGGTCACCTGAAATAGTCGCCGGTCAGACATACCAAAACCTGGGCCTCATCAGCTCAGCTCAACGTGCGTCGAAATCGGCCGCTTGCACATACAATGTTACGGTAATTAATGCATTCATTATGACAGTGGTTTCATCGGCTAACCAACCAACGCTTTCAGACTCTAAAGATCGTTGGTTCGTAAAGGCGAAAAGGTGATTGAACGTTCTAGAACAGTTTCAGAGATTGTTACGGTTTATTCGTTGCTTAGCAGCGAAGTCCGAAGTTCAGCCACTTGCACCGCACACGTTATACCACGTCACCGTTCACACCATCACGGCACACAACGTCACAACGTCAAACGTCGCGTCACACCGTCACGCGTCACAGAGCGTCACGACCCCGGGTCAGCTGACCGGCGGACGGCAGGCGCAGCGGGATCGATTAGATGTGTGTCGCTATGGCGGGCCCACCACCCACCACCCTCACCCCTCCCCGTCACGGGCGGCGTGGTCGATCACGACCCATGCCGTCTGAACACTCCGTCGGTAAAATCGCCGCCGACGACTATCGAGGACAATGACCGACGATCGAGAAAACCAACACGAGGAAAGTTTGGCCGTCGGTCCAAAAAGCACATTCGTGCCCTAGAACTAAGACTTCGGGTACACTTCAAATCGACCAATAGCAGTTAGAACTATACGAAGACTGGAAAACATTGCATGCATTGTCTGGAAACGATTGAATGAATACAGCACTTTATTTTCCAGAAACAACATCGGAAACGAACAACAATCACCCCACCTGCCCTCATCATGGTATCCACTCACCGCTCGTAGTGTGCCAAGGAGCCGTTCTGCTGTAAATCTGTAGCCACCACCGCTCTCTGCCGCCAGCGATCAGCCTCAGTCCACCGTCACCCTCCGTCATCCGCAGTTTACCCGGGTCTGCCGTCCTCGCCGCACGCCACACACGAGCGAGACTTCCAGACAGCCGACGGTGACCCCCCCCCCCCCCCATCCCTCCACGCGACACGACACTGCGACCGTTCTCCTCCCCACCCCGTCCGGACTCAGACACAGAACCGCGGGGGCACTAGGCTCAGTCGGTGAGGTGAGGGACGGGACAGCGAAAGAGTAACACTTGCGATTGCGGAATAACATTTCACGACGGAGAGGTCAAGCATCAGCTATTGGGATAAAGTTATTAGTCATGGTTATGAGCGAACTATATTCATACAAACATAGTTGCGTCGCTAGGTGCTAGGCAAAATGAGACTGGCGAGCAACTGACTCATTCGGCTGGAATATGGCTTGTATCGTTTTAGCAACATTAAGGTCTCTACATTTCGCGACAGCGTCAAACATCAACGAGTGAAGATCGCAGCATATATTTATCGGTCTAAAATCATGTGCTTATAATCGCCATAAAAGGGTGACCTGACATCCCAAAGGTCGACACGGCCCATCACACCCCTCAATATCGTAAACAATACGGTACGAAATGGCCCATATGTACAACATGAAACCACGCAACATCACTCAGGTGCAGCCGAGTCGAAATGCTAATTACACCATCAGCTGCAACGACGGTCCACTAGGCCACGTAGCGTTTCAACATTTGTGCATGTGTTCACTGTCCAATACAATCACCACACAGTAATGACATACAAAACCATACCTGACGCATGCGAACACAGCCCCAGAACATTTCTTTCACGTACATGAGTACAAACGCTGACACGAGACCCAGAAAACAATACAGAGTGAGGACGCTTCACAACGAACATTACACACAGCCTGACAACAAAACATTTAACAAACAACCACTAATCACGATTATATGCCAACAAAACGTCAACTGAATCTCGATTAATGTGCAGTATATGATTCCACCAAAATCGGAATGTGAACTCATCTGCCTTGCGACGAACTGGGTACAACAAATGTTTATCAAGCAACGGACAAAACAAAGCTCGACGACTTTGGATCTTTCTACATTGCGGGTAGAGATAGCATTGTACAAGTGTTCAAGTGTAGTAACAAGTGTTCATACTAACATCCCATTCTAAAGCTAGTTAGTTAGTGATATAGCCTCAAACTATGTCTAGCTTCGACAGTAGAGTATCCGACATAGTTATTTGTGAGATTAATCACATTCTCAAACTACTAGCAGTGATAAAGGTCGGAAATTTCAACATAGCTTCAAAAGCAGCATACCACACCTTTAGCTAGCCTGTGATGCGTGAGTAATACACATCGCGCAACTCTGAGTGCAAATTCATTACACTAATGGTTGTTTTGGACCACGTAACCATAACGCTAGACATACCCTGTCACTTCTGCTTGCAAAGCCTCTAAATGCCCGACTGCCAAAGGTGCCATATCTTGCATCCAGCTCACCAAAAATCGTTCCTCTAAACTGTCTCCATCCGATCTCCGGCACCTCAGTCACCCCGAAGCTCGGACCATCTCTCCCCCTTCCGGCACCTCTCGCGTCCCTCTCACCACACGTAGAAGTAGACTCGCTGCCAGGCCGGCAGATAATCGAGCAGCGGCTGCGCCAGGTAGCGGCCCAGCGGCATGTGTCGAGCCAGCGCCGCCAGCACGGCCACCAGCCGGTCGCGTGTGTGGCGCTCGTAGAACGGCGAGCGCAGCAGGTAGAGCAGCAGCTGCAGCCGGCGCGAGTAGAGCTCGGCCCGCTCCGAGTGGGTGAGCGGCTGGGCCGGGTCCTCGTGCAGCTGCTGGCTGGCGATGTCGGCAACCAGCGGCAGCAGCCAGGCGGGCCAGCTGTCGGCGCCGCGCGCGCCGGCCGACGCCAGCTGCAGCAGCGGCCGGCAGATGAACAGCGTCTCGGCGGCGCGCCGGCGGGCGGTCAGATGGCGGGGTACGATACCCAGCGGGGAAGGCGGCCGCGGCACGCCCCACGCCCGCCGCGCCGGGGACGCCACTGTGGGCACGGCGGGGAGGCCGTGAGGTACAGAACTGGAGCTATGCGACTAAGAGCGGTATTACAACTGACTCAGTGCGGTATTACAACTGAGGATCACACAGAGAACAATCGCATGGCACGCTCCATATCTGCCATGGAGATCAGGATGCATTTCGCAACGAATTGCGCAATAGGGAGAGGGGGGACGAGCAGCCTATACCAAAACATACCCAACACCTCTGTATACCGAGCAAACACTAGCGTCTGTGATCGAAGTGGAAATAAACAGTTCTATTCCTGGATCCATAAACATTACTTTCAATACAATTCAGTATCCTTTTAATTGTGTTACAAACGCATTTGATATTATGTATATTTCAATACATCACGGTCCTATAGCCGAAATGACAAAAAGCTTCCATTCGCCATTTTCATGGTCGATGCATCCCTCAAACTACTTAACATAGTTCGCAGCGTCACCTATGGGCGACCCACCTGTGGTGAGGCTGCGCACGCGGCGGCCGGTGCTGGGCAAGACGAGCACCTCGTCAGCGGACGGGTCGCTGGACGAGGCGGCGCCGCACGTTGCCGACTGTTCGGCCACGATCGGCGGTGACGTCAGCATGCCACAGCGGTGCCAGTAGACGAGCGCCAGCCGCATCAGCGCCCTGGAATAAACAGACGCGGTGGTCAGCGTCCCTGAACAGCTGTGGTCAAATAAACAACACTGGTGGCAGGTAACCGAAAAATAATAAACCGTAACTTTTCAAACGAGAAAACAAAACACAATTTCCTGACGCTCGCAACTTCGTACAAGGCTCAGCTCCCGCCCCAATTACCACCCGAAGCCTCCCCCAACTCACTTTGCGATCTGCACTGCAGCGATGACGGCCCAGCGTCCTGTCGGTCCGAGCAGCTGGCCGGCCGCCAGCTCCAGAAACACCTCCACGTACTCCGTGAGGGCCAGCCAGGCGCGCAGCCGCCGGCCGGCCACCTCGGGCAGCCGCGGCTGGCCAGAGGGGGAGCTCACAGCAGCCGGTTGGCCAGTGAGAGCAGCCGCGAGACGGCGTACACCAGCTCCGAGACGGCCGAGACGCGCGACTCGGTCCGACCTGCGGGGTAAGAGAGCGTATTTAGTATATGCATGTGTTTCGGTAAAGTATATAAGGAATGGAGAGACGTCTGCGCGAGATTAAGATAGTCATTTCTTGGTTATTTCAGCGTCAAATGTCGCGTGTTGATGACATGAATGAATGTGATCACAAAGGCAGAAGTCTCGAGGGCAAATTATCCCGTGCATAGGCCGGATGTTAATATGAAAATCAAGACCAGTCGCAGGTGAACAAAAGAAATACTGACGCATCAACAAGTAACTCTTCGTAACACCTCATCCCTCTAAATCCCGGATCTTCCACTTCCCAGAGACCGCCACCATGGCTCGCTCTATGAAAGCCAGCGAGCGGCGCCGGGGCAACATGACGTCGCCCGTTCTGACCCTGCTCGGCGTCTCCACTGTGCTCTTCGCCAGCCTCTTCATCATGAAACGAGCCATACACAACGTACGGCCACAAGACATACCGAACCCGCCGCCGCCGACTCGTGCGCACAAGTCTGCGAGTGGGAACGGAACATCACCAGCGCCGCCAGCCGGTACCGGCAGAGTACCAACACAAGCCGTGTCACCTGCACCAGAGAACACCCTGGGAGGAAGCACCGGGACAGTCAGGCAGACGGTCCCCACCATTCCGCCGGAGGCAGTGGATGAAGCCACGGAGGAGCCTCTCGATGAGAACCCCGAGGAGAACCAAGAGGAGAGTCCGGAGGAAGAACTGGTGGAAACTCCGCAGCAAGAGCAGGAAGAGAGCCCTGAGGAGGTTGTCGAGGAGAGTCCAGAGGAGCCGAGTCCTGAGACCGAGCCCGTGGCGGCGGGCCGCACTCCGAGTCCGGCGGAACTCCTGGAGGCGGAGATTCCTCCGACGGGTAGTATGGAGGCGCCGCTGCGGCGTCGGCGCCGCCACCACCGCGCCGACCTGAAGCCGTGGCTGGTAGGCCAGCTGGACCGAGACCGATGGCACCAGCAGGAGCGCGTCCAGATCTTCAGGATGCCGCCATTGCCCTGACCGCGATGTAGGCACTCAAAGGCTGAAATACCGCTCTTGATACTGCTGTGACAGTGGTGGTGACACTAATGTGACAGTGAAACTGCCACTGCGACAGCAGTGCTGCCGGAATTGTCACGTCACTGTGCTCAGGATGTCACCGCTGTCATTGGCCGAGCACAGACCAAGGTGTTGTCCAAGGGACTATCACTGGCTGCATTTCCACATCGCCTGCACTAATTATCAAATGGCTGAATACACGTTCTCCAAACCAGTCACTCCCCAGCCAGCACAAGATCACAAACTAAAAGGAAGCTACCAGTCACTATCCATCCAGCACAAGATCATAAACTGAAAGGAATCTAAGAGTAAATGATTGACTGTAATTTCTTGTAGAGAAAACCATAAACCAGTGATATGTAAAGGACTACTGAATGGTGAGTAAGATGTTTCTTCAAATACCAAGAAGGCTGGAAAAAGGATGATGCACCCATCATGATGCCTCATATCTGTTTCAATATAAAAGGAAGCATAGTGAAAATTGCAAATTTATGAAAATGGCATCAGAAAAGGAAGCTAAGTGTCTCATGAGAAATGGATCAGCATGGGTCATTTTGTGACGACTGCTTACCTAGCTGAAAGCTATACAAGTTAGTCATTGAATGTCTGGTTCCATATACCTTAGGTAGGTAGTGCAAATGATTGCAGGTGCAGTCAATTTGCACAAGAAGGTTTTGCAGGCAAATTGTTATTTCTAGCTTATTACATTGCATATCAATCACATATGATACTTAGTTAAAGGTAATAATTAAATATCACTGTCTTAAAGGTAGTGTGCCAGCTTTCTTGGACCGTATGGAGTTAATGGCCCAGATAAGGAGAACCGGATTTTTAGAACTTATCCATACCTTCAAAACTCATGGAAACGTCTTAAATTCTTCAAATTTTGAGTACCCCAGTGCGAAATTCGCCCCGACGGGTTGTCGGTCGTACCCCAACCACATTTCACACCACTATGAACAATAAATGCACACACTGAAATCGCTATTACCGATATGCTCATCCAATCAAGTTTCGATAAACCCGTTCATCATCATCTCCTGCGGTTTCGAACACGCCTGTTAGGTGGCTTCTGATGCTCGTCGAGGTCGGAATTTCCAAATACGCGTGGTGCGTCGGGCCGCGCGCTCTGACTTCGGCCAAGAAAAATGCGTCAGCTGATCATTGTCATTTCTGCCACTTGCGTGTGGTGAAATGGGGTCATAACTTATAAGACGGCTTTTTCATATCAATTATTTTACATAAAATCATATTTCAAACCATAATAATGTTCGACAGCCAAATAAAAGAAACAATACCAATACGGGCTTACAGTTTAAGGCTCGACATTGTGTTGTCTACGATTAGACAGCTGATAACTCATTCCCGTACGTCGTATGGTCGTAACACTATAATGACCTTTGCTCATTGTCACAAGTGCGCCGCATTCGCGATTGTTGCCCGACGCCTGTTTGCAGGTGAGCCCACTACAGTTGTTATACATATCTAAAAACCGATAAACTTTTAGGCGAAAAAGGCACTATTCCAGGCCCATTTTTGATTTTTTTTTTGCGATATTAGGTAAAAACAGAAGCTTCTTATCCTAGGAAAAATAAATGGGAAATCTTTCAAAGGTGGCACACTACCTTTAACTAACAACTTCTGATGATTTAACCACTATCAAACAATCATGCTCAGAAGGCTACGCTCAAGGCACATACCAGCCAGATAGTAGGAGGTCCACTTGAAGATGACCTCCAGATCAGAGCCTCCCTGGGGCCTGCTCTTCAGCCAGGTCTGGTATTTGACCAGCTGGGCCTGTAATGTCTCCATT